CGCGCATCGAACTCTGCTTGAAGGGCTCGTAGCTCAGTGCGCTGACCACTATGCTACCACTTTCCACAGTCATTCCAATCGCACGTGCACAGCCATATCCACAGCAATACTTTAGCACCGGTGGTTAAGAGAAGTGTCAATCTAGATTTGAAGCTTTCGTGAATGCAGGAATCCATACTCTTTGGTTCTTTCGGTAAAGTCATGTAGGCAGAAAAATAATCGATCACGACGTTTCGATCGCAACACAAGCAATCGTCATCAGGCGGGACAACCACAGCAAGAAAAAAAACTGCTGAAGTATGGTAAAGTCACCTACGTCTTGTACAATAGTGGCATTTGATACTTGAACCCGTTGGTCCACAAAGAATATTTGATATGTTTTTTAGCATCGTGCATATCGGAGGTGTTTCAGAATTCACCTACGTGACTTTACCGAAAGAACCAAAGAGTATAAGAGAAGTGTTTTAAATGTGAACCAAATATTGAGCTTCCATGATTTTCTTTGCATCCCAGTTTTTCGGAACCATCTCTTCGCAGCATTTAGCCTTTTCCAGAGTTGTGCAGTGATGGGTATTCGGTGGGTGTTGTCTCGTGTAATCTATCAGGGGCGCTATATATAGGCTGACAAGCATGCTCTTTCATGTGCATGTGTGGCTCACTCCTTGCCGCTGTCATTCATACCAGCAGAGCTGTCTGCTGCTGCTGCCGCCTGCATTAGTGCATACTTGGCAGCATAAAATTGCACTGCTGGTAGGTGCCTCCCATGGGGTTGGGGGGGGGGGGTCTTGTGAAACCCACGCTAGGACACTGATCCAGCGCCTCTCAAGGTCCTGGGTTCAGTCCCCGATTCTGCATTCTGTTGAAAATGAATTGGATGATCGTCACTGCCCATTTACTTTAATGATTGGCCTAGCGAGGTTCTGCAGTAGACACTACAGAGAGCTGGCCTGTTATGCTCTTGAATGACAGCCTCCCTGCTCCATACAGGCCGAGTGAGTTTTTGTCACCATACTGAACCTCACTGGTCTGTATGTACGTAGAACTTCTTTCGCACAGTACGTAGCCAACCGTGCTCATTGGAGGTGGGGGAAAGTCATTGCTGGTTTGGTGAAGGTGTGGGGACATAGTACAGAGCAGCATTGAATTTTGCTGTGCAGGCCTCTGCTGCTGCCTCCACGTAGCCCTACAGCCTATTGTTGTCCATGGCGGTCACTCCTTGGACATTTTCTCTTGCAAGTGTGAGATATTTCACGGGCTTGATTCGTCTCCGACGTGACAATTAACTTTACGGGAATTGGCTTGAAAGTGTTTTGGGACCCTTCGAGCATGAAAAATATATCTTAGGACCCGTAATCGAATCTGTCACCCAGAATCATTTGATTAAATGTAATTTGGATGATGCTGAGGATTTCACTAAAGGGTATCGAACCAAATAACACTAATCTCTGGAGCTATTAGGCAGCATGCAGTGCATTAGCAAGCAGAATATAAAGTGCAACCTTAATATCAATATACATTTGGATACGTACTGTACGGCTTTTGTATTGCTAAAATGTCGTTTCTTTGTGTTGATTAAAATACAATTTACCACTGTACGTCTGTCACCTTTATATCTATTTATCTTGGTAGTCTCTGTAAACGCTACAGATCCTACTGCTACATTAAAACCAAATGGAGACTAGAAATAATTAATTCATTGCGCCTCTTGGGATATTATAAAAACTAGCACTGATAGCTTGTGATCCAAATTGCAAATACCAAACAGATAAACAACAACACAATCTAATGATGTCCAAGTGCATTTAATTACACCATGAATGTGCTCTTTGGTGTTCGAATGATATGGTTTAACGAGATTGAAAATAAATTAAAGAGCAAAGGACAATTCATATTGTAGGGCAAATTGTTTTTGCCACGCAAAGTCAGGCCTTGAATTGCCCAGACCAGATTATTGAGAATATTTCGATATTGATGCGAATTCACCCAATATCAAACTGTCCAGCTGGCAAAACTTATCGAGGATTGTGGCGGTAGCATGAGAAATGGCCCATCCTATATTTAGTTTAAGCTGTTTTTAAAGTGTAAGAGGTAGACATTTCGTATATTTCGCGTTTATGGACACCACCAACTATATGGTTTGATACGTGCTAAGCTGCCACGTGCCAAATTTCCACGTGTAATATTTTTTTTGTTGGTTTTCAATGTTGATTAAGGACTTTATATGCAAAAGAGCCATGCAAACACAATCTTTTCACGTTGGTTTTACAATAACTTAAGAGTACATGTACTGTTCTATGTTGGGAAATAATGTGCTGTCTTGGGTTTACTATTTATACCTGATCTTTGGCTGAGCCCTCGACTTGTCTACAGATGCAGACTGAAACCTTTCCTGAAACAAAGTGGTATTGTATCTTCTAATTTTGTTAAGGCTAGGGTAATATCTTTAATGTGTTACTTAAGTTATCAGGCTAACCACCCCACTGCTTGATATAATTCTAGCTCGTAGACGACTTTGGAAAGGCCTTCATCCAGCAGTGGATTAATTATAGATCATGATGGTGGTGCCAGGAATTTGATTCAATGTATTATTGCACTAAATACATTATGCACGTGCAGGCAAAGTGGAGTATTAGCCAGAAAGTTAGCTTTATAAAAAATTGTATCCATTATAATATAAAAAATCTATGTGGTTTAGTGTTGGCAAACAACTTGTCGTGTCATCCTTGTATATTTCGTGCTATTAGAATTCATATCATGCACAGATGTATAACATGTTGCAAGCTGATGGCGAGTGCGTATTTGTTTACATTACAAAATCCCTGTGTGGATTGGGAATTGTAAACGTGTTTGCGTCCAAATTTGAGAGATGTAAAATACATCTGACCAATTCAGTTTGTCCGCAGATGAATATTTGTAGGGTAATTCATTCTTATGTTCACTGCTCAGTTGATTTTTTTAACGAAGAAGCCCTGTTGCATACGAATAGTAAGGGGTCACCAAGTGTTATTTACTGAACACATTGCTTCCATTAACGTTTTCCATCTGTGGTCATGACTGCTATGTCCATGTGCCTGCAACTAAAATGTTTTCTGTTTTAATTAAGTGGTAGTGGTGGTGGAAAAGCAAAATCCTGAGCTCCTCCAACAGTTGGTCTTTGGTGCAAACGACATTGGACAGCTGGCAAAGCAGTTCGTTGGTAATTCAGCTGTCGGAGCTGTGAACATTACACGCCGCTTGACCTCATCGTTTAATGCCAGAACTTGCTCGCTCTTTAGGCCCAACAAAGACCGAAATCTTTACAAAGCTTTCCGTCCTTAAATATTATCTCTCCCTTTTCCGCTGTAATGGGGAATTAAAGGAAGAAAAATCTACTTAAATGTTTTTATTTAGAGATTAAAATTACTATTCTTTGGGTCTTTCGGTAACGTCACGTAGATAGGTTCAAAGAAAATAACAAAAGTACTTTTTTGTTATTTTTGTTATTTTCTTTGAACCTATCCACGTGACTTTACCGAAAGACCCAAAGAATATGAATTCCTGCAGTCACGAAAGCTTTAAGTCAAGATTAAATAGACTGTTAAGGGGGCGGGGTGGTGGCAGCACATTGATTAGCGCACTGTGCTATGAACCTATGTCCCAGCCTCGTCTAACACAAGTGTAGTGACATCGCTGGATGTCAACATGCTGGGTGCAGTGCCGGCTCTAGATGGGCACGGCGTGCGGTGTAGCGACATGGCGTGATACCACAAGGGTGTGGGTGTAGTACCGGTCCTAGAGGGGCCCGGTGAACGCTGAATAATAGCGCTAGATGGCACCACGCTTTACGTGTAGTGCCCGACCCTACAGGACGGTGTGTGGGTGCCAGAGGTCGCAAACGGGTTTTGATTCCTTACCCGTACCCGGCCACAACAGGGTCGCAAACGGGTACCCGTACCCTACCCGATACCCGGCTACCCGTACCCGGCCGGGTATCGGGTAGGGTACGGGTACCCGATTGCGACCTCTGGGATGAAGCCATGTTGCAGGCGCGGGTGGGTTGATTCTCGGAACTTGAATTGAGAAGAGACAAGACGTTGGGAAATGAGTGACAAACGGTTACTCACCAGTGACTCACTGCCTACCCGTACCCGTACCCGGCCGCACCAGGGTCGCAAACGGGTACCCGTACCCGACTGGGTACGGGTAGCCGGGTATCGGGTAGGATACGGGTATCGGGTACCCGGTTGCGACCTCTGGTGGGTGCCAGTCAAAGGATGAGGTTATGTTAGGCCATGGCACTCTGGTTGACCCAGGAGGACACGTGCCCAGTTAAGTTGACGAAGGGGCTCCAAGAGGGGGCTAGGGGTGGTCACGTGATTTGGACCCAGATCCTTCCGGAGGATTCTGGAAGGTGGACGTGGCCAAGGGTGGAGCCGGCCATGCCACAGAGAATCTCAGCCGGGTCCCGAGAGGGACCAGGGTTGTTGTTCATCCTGGAAGAAACCCTTCGTCAACGTTCTCCGTTCAACGAGTCTCCAATACGTGGACCCGGGCCGAAGCTGTTGGTCCCGGTCTGGAGTAGCAGTTGCGTTATAACTCGTGTAGTTAGCCTGGTGGTTACCACCATAGGTTGTTATTCTGTTAAGGGGAAAGTTACCCCGTGTGTTGGAACTGAATAGGTGTTGCCTCCAAGTCTGCGACTCGGTTGAACCCATTACACAATTATTGAATCATGTCAGAACCAGTCCTGGGCCTCCCCTGTTCACAGACCCGCACTGAACAGCGTTGTGAATTACGGTCAAACAACTCTATGGAAAGGTATGGGGAAGCCTTTTATGTACGTATGTTGAACTTCTTTCGTGTACCGTACTTCGCCAACCGTGCTAATCGAAGGTGCGGCCTTCATGCTGCAGTGGGTGGATTGACAGATGGGCCATAAATGTTGATGATAATTTATATGATTAATTATACCATTGTTTAAAAACATCTTTCATAATCGTCTTTTTTTTGTTTTGTTGCAGGCTTTTGTAAAAGACATTCATGAAGACTCACTGACGGTCACATTTGAAAACAGGTGGGTGAAACTCCAGCAGGCCACTCGTATACGAGTCAGTTGTCAGGCTGTTTTATTCCCCTGATTCTCGAATCAGTTCCATTTCGTTTCACCCAGAGCTCTGATGAATCATACAGAGAGCAATGTACCTGCATTTCCAATGAGATAGGATCTATGTGTAATGGCTTCTCATGATCCCCCTCTGCGAATTCAATATTGGTGGCTCTGAAAAAATAACGTTTGCCCTTGGGCCTTACATCCAGGTCATTAATTCTGGCCTTGATCTCGCCATTCAAAAAGTCACAATCAGTAGATACCGCATTTCTCGATGAACTTCCGTTTTTTTTGTCAAATCCACCGCTGGACGTGCATCTTCGTGGTTAAAATCCACCAGGTCTCCATGGTTAATGCTGCAGGTTTTTTTAATGGAAAATACACACCGTCTGATGCACATCGGACCTTGGGGGATCACGTGGCGGTCATTCAAAAAGAGTAGGCCATGGTGTGCCGGTGTCACGATTCAAGTTTGCCCAATTACATTTAAAAAAATTACTGAATCGGAATTACACATAGCAACATCGCCCGCTGCTGTGAAACTGCTGCCGACTGCAAAACGCAACACCTCCGCAACGAGAATGCTGCAACGCACCAAGTGTACTAAGTTACATAAGCGTGGCTGACTAGCTATAATCATCAGCAATGATCGACACCGCTATGTGAGAACTCGTGCACATGGCATAATCATCATCGCTCCGTCGCTGCGATCGATGTGCTGTCTCTCGGGCACCGGGTACCGATCCAACGTTCGCGAGTGAAAATGTATTCTCACGAGCACCGTTTGGTGCGCGTGCCGTGGGCGTATGAAACGCGGTGTTTCAATTGGAGCGTCGTTCCTCGTCCTGATGGCCACGTCAGACGGGCATCCCAGCGTGTCCTCACGAGGTCCATTCATGTGCTAGCATATTAGTCGTAGCTGCCCCTCGTCTATCATGTGACGTCAACCGGCCGGAATGCTATTTTTAACCCTGTCAGGGTCATAATGGGTATTCGCCACCTGCGTGTATGCATGTGCCCTTTTCCCTTCCCCCTATCTGCGTTTCCGAACATGCCTGGCTTTGCTTAACTCTCGGCTCGAAAACAAAAAGGGTAATTTCTTGAACACGTTACTTCAGTCACAGCAGAAACCAATGGGCGGATTGTTGTCTTGTCAAAAGTACAGTGTGCATGGTTTGTATGTGCACTGTCACTATATCTACACGATTGCCATTTTTTATTTGATGAAATTACTTGTGGTGAGTTCAGCTCGCTTGCCAGAACGAGAGATGGATGTTTGTATCACGGAACCACGATGGCTTGCTAGAGAGTCCTTAATCCGCACCTCCAATGAGCACGGTTGGCTACGTACCGTGCAAAATAAGTTCTATATGCATAGAGCCTGGCCGATGATAAAAGCAACTATGTATTTGGTTTTTCTGTTACTGACATAACAGTTTAATGGAACTGCCCCCAACATGCGTGTGCTTAGGCTTGATTACAAAACAATAAAATGTGATGTATTTTTTCACGTTTCTTTAACGTGCTTTGAGCTCTTGTTAACACCATCTGTATTCTCATTTCGCTGTCGGGAGCCGTGACTTGAAGCGCGGGCAAGTGGCAGTGGTGGAATTTTCTCGGTCAGCAGAGCTCCGCATCGTGTTGGGAAATGACCCTGAAAGATGACCCCGTTAAACTACTTCTGGAGTCATTTGCCGGTGCTTTAAACGGCATATGACTGCAGAGCTGGTATCGGTTGGCCGTGTTCGAGCCGCCGGTGGAAATCCCACATTCCCACGGTGGGGTGGTGGGGGGGGGGGGCCCAACTCTCCATAGGACGACCGCTATCGACTTCCCAACCAACGCAGAGAGATGCTAGTTCGAGTTGACTGCGCGGCTGGCGAGACTCGCAATTTTAACCGCGCAGGCCGAGTCGACCGTTGACCGGGGATTTGACCTCGCAAACTTCCTTTGGTCACGAGGGCACCGCGCTGACCAGCCGGATATCCGCGAAAGATAGGTGGTGTAAGAGTTGTTATAATAATAATGTTCCCTGCGACCTTGATTGGTAGGCCAAGCAGCTTTTGTGCCGGGCTGGTGGGAAAATTGGCCTCATACAGCACAAGCCTTTACGCTGTATGATATTGAGACACGGCTTGTAATGGTATTGCAAATTATAGAGTGGATAAGCTGCATCAGGTCCTGTTATCCAAATTATCAGGTGAAATTTTTTCGTATAACTTGGCATATAATCCACTTCATTCATTAAGATTGATGTGGAGTGGCCTAGGAGTTGTCCAGACAAACAGGCAAACAAAATGCAACCCTTATATAGAGACTAGCCACTTGTTTTGTCGATTAGTTGCTACCTGCCCCAGGCCTTAAAATGTCCCTTCAGGTTTAAACATTAGCTTACTCAAGCAATCTAGCTGACAATACAAGTCAACAGCCAGAAAAGGAGATGTGCAGACCACATATGATGATGGTGATGATAATATAAATAATATAACAGGAATCCTAACATGTTTTGCATGCCTAGATGTGTGTCAAACAGAATCAGAATATTTATACTGCAGGAGGAATCCAATGTGCTATATAGCTTCGATTTAAAGCTTTCGTGACTGCAGAGATTCTTCTTGGTTCTTTCGGTAAAGTCACGTAGAAGGGAAATAAAATAATAAAAATAAAATAAAATACAATTCTCACGACGTTTCGGCTACAACGCAAGCAGCCGTCCTCAGGTGAAGAACAGGTCTGTCGGAAAGACGGCTGCTTGCGTTGTGGCCGAAACGTGAGAATTGTATTATATTATGTTTGATTTTTATTATATTATTATTTCCCTTCTACGTGACTTTACCGAAAGAACCAAGAAGATGCTATTAAGCTCTTTTTCTCAGATGTCCAGTCGGGGCGGATACGAACGTTACAACAACAAACAATGCAAAAACTTAATAAGAGTGCAGAGTACAAGATTACCCCTTTGACCAACAGCGTGGGTAGGCCTTAATCCAGCAGCAGATTGACAAAAATCCGTAACGACCTATGTGCACATGATTAACTGCTCACGTGACGCCGTGCCTTTCAGTTGGCAGCCAGAGAGGCAGATCCCATTCCAGGACGTGCGGCTGCCTCCTCCCGATGACTGTGGCAAGGTCATCACCGAGGGGGATGAAGTGGAGGTGAGGAAAACCCCTCATACTGTGGCCATCCCATCGAGCACATCCCCAAGTCACCACTGATGTTTTGACTGCTATGTCCGGGATTGATGCTCGAGTCAGAGCCGGTTTTGCAATATGCTTAGAGCGGTTGCTTTGCAGCGAATTCCTGACGGACTGAAACTCGTAAGAGTGTGCAATAGTAAATGTGCAGACTTGATGTTGATGCCATCGTGGTGATCGTCATAACTCGCCCATCACGATCTCTATCATCACAGCCTTCACTACCATCGCCATTGTACTTAGCATCCTGTCCACTATCACACTGCTGTTGTTGTCACTTCAGTTATGACCTGTCGTATCTCATCGACCACGCCGGTCGCTATCGCAGCTTCCATTCTCACCATCAAGAGTCTTCCATCTTCACCAGCCTCCATCTTCACCAACCTCCATCATCACTGCCATCCCCCATAAAGCCATTGGGGCCAAGTGCAGTTAGCCAAGCGCTTATTAAAAGCCGCCGCAGCGTTCGAGGGGGCCGCGTGGCCAGCACCATGCGCTGCCACCTTTGTAGTCTCCAGTGCGAATGTTTGCACATCGCCCCAGATTCATAATTTAAGGCCAAGTCGATCTTGGGGAAGCCCAAAACTCCTTGTGCTTTGGTAGGCAGTGATGTTAGCCGTGGCCAAAAAAATAATTTGGGTCACTGGGTTCATATAAACCCACAGCGCCACCGCTTCCCACACTGCCGCTATGACCCCTGTCATGTGACCTATTGTGACATCCATTGTGGTCCCTAAAATTACAGTACTTTTGCATGGAATTGTTAAAGTGCCGCATCTGCAGTGAGTGTATATTGTATGAGACAATATACTAAATTTTGGTCTGCATCATGGCTAGATTTAAAAACTAACTTGTGACAAATCGATAAGCAAAAATTTGCTTTTAATAAAGTAATTATCTGTTTTGTATTAGACAACATTATCTTGCTGGGTTCGAAAATACACAGAATTTATTTTGAGATTTTGGCATTTACCTGCAGTGCGGCCACTTGAGAAGATGCGGTAATTTTTGTGTTTTGTTCTGTTATGGTTGCTGAGCACTGGCACCAAGTTTTAAAATTCCACATTGTCAGCCGCAAAACGGCGGCAGCGTTGCGTACATTTGTGAATGCGCTCACGGTTTTGCTTTCGCACCCTCGCAGGTGTTCTCCAGAGCCAACGAGAATGAGCCGTGCGGGTGGTGGCTGGCGCGCGTGCGGATGATGAAGGGCGAGGTAAGGACTTGGTGGAATCCGCCTCCTGGCGTGGTGTGAATGTGAGCATCGAGTGCGAAAACCGCTTTTGCCTGATGTTTTTTTTATTTGATTCAACTTTCAGTCGATGGCCGAAATTTAACTCGCGCTGCTTGGGATTGATGCAGTTTCACGAACCACTGCACCATCACTCTCGCTGCTTACCTTTTCACACCCTTCTTTCTGCCACTAAGTGGCGGTGATGTCACCACGTCGTTTGTGCCAAGCTAGGTGCACTTTGAGGCCACGTGAAGGGTAGGAGGCTCGCTGACAGGAGATGATGGGACAGACCCAGGTGTTCTAGGTTTACTGCTTGAGATGACTAATAGATGCATCACCTGTGCTCCCCATGATGCCAACTCACAATACACACACAATAGTGTTGTTTATTGTTCATGGTCCATCCTGGACTTGAAGTAGGCAATGGGAAGACCGCATTCAACTCCTGCTGCCCCGAGTATGGCACAAATCAAAAATGCCTCGGACCTGTCTGCACATAGAGCTTAATGATTTAAGTTTTACTAGCTTAAAATATGCTTCAAGAAAGGCCACTGCATGTATTAATTTACTAAAAATGAAAGGACTTTAGTTACAATAAAAATCCCCTCTTGGCCAATAGGCCTCCAGAAAAGCCATCGGGCTAAAACAAAAATGTGTTCACTCCTGTTCACTTTTGTAAACCTATTTAAGCAAAACCCTCTGATTCGGATTTTTCATTTGAATAATCTTCATATAGTAGGCATTGTCCGGTCGGTGAGGGTTAGCGACTGTAATGTCGTATGTGTAGACCACTGTGACGCAGGGCGGTTAATGCAGGGAAACTCGGTGGGTGGCAGAGTGCAGTGTAGCAAAAACCCATATTGCGTACTGTACTTCTGTGCTCAAATATCTACGCTTCCCTGCCTTCACCAGCCCATACTGACCAACCTGGTGAAGTATGCACATGTTAACCTCTGACCTGCGTCCAGCAGTCTATTGTCAAAGGGCACATACAAAGCAGGGCAGCGCGGTTCATCATTGTGCAGTCATTAGAAGCGTCTCGGCGTTGGGTAAAAAAAATCAATCGGTGTTTTTCGGCACGTGTCCTGACTTGCACCTCCGCGGCTTTAGAGCGTCGGTGATGTGTCCGGTGCATATTTCCTCCACCGCGGATAGCTCTGCCCTATGGAAGGTCAATGCGCAACTGTCGTCATCGTCACCATAATCCTCACCATCGTATACATCCTCACCATCATATACATCCTCGTCATTGTCTTGTCATTTTATTTGCTGTTGAGCAACGTATTCTTTGTGAAGCCTCCACCTTGCTTGTCGGGAACTTCTTGATGCATTTCTTCTACCGGCTTTGTATAAAAAGGTGAAGGCGTGGCCCTCCAATTACTCGCACCGCCCCACTGCTGGTGGAAGCCCCTCCAATAGACGTAGTTCTAGAGAGCCCCTCTCTAGAGCAGTGATTCTTAACCTTTACTGCAGCCTTGCATCCCTTTGGTTCTCAATCGTAGTAAAACAGTATATTGTTCATATATATAGGTTTGATTAAACAAAGTAAGTTGTACTTATGTGCCGTGCCTAATTTGTGTTTTCGATTATTACCTTCTAAAAAAATCTGGCCACGTCTCGTACCCCCAGGGGATACGTGCACACCAGGCTAAGAGCCGCTGCTCTAGAGGGTATTTTTGGCCTTCCCTTCCATGCTGGCTGGACTACCCAAACGTTGTCACACCCCCCCCCCGCACCACCACTCGTGATTTGTGAAACTTGCCGCTCGTTTCAACTGCCGCCGCCGCCGGGAGATCGAATCGAATTCGCGACCTCTGCGTCGTGAGTCCGGTGTGCCGATCATTACACCGCGGCAGCAGCAGCATCCTCTCTCTGCACACGAATGTCTGTGGTAGAACAAAAATAATAATAATCTACGTTCACTTGCGTGATTTATTTATGCGTTAAACCATTTTATCACCCGATTTGTTATTCAATAGCGGTGACATGGATACATATATATGACTATTCGGTTGCCGTGTGTGCATGTGTTACTGTATATAAATGTATGTATTATAAATGCTGTCTTGGTGTGTGCGTGTATATACGTGTATATACACGTATATACACGCACACACCTCGAAAGAATGGTCGCCATTCCATTCTTTGTCTCAAATGAAAGCTGGGTGCTGTTTCTTGGAACGAGTAAAACGCCAAAGCATTAATGGTCGTGCAGCTCACCCACCACCCGCAGCTCCTCCACCCTGGGTGTTCAGGTTGTACCACTCGTTGCTCTGCACGAAGTTCGACGTTTCGCTCCACCTGCTTGGGGGCTTCTTAATTGCGAACAGATCACTCAGGCACGATCCAAAAGCACATCGAAGGGCTGTACAGCACAGCTGAGAACCTACGCAGCAGTATTAAGAGCTGTGATGTAACTTGATTTAAAGAGGCCCATTAATACACCTTGTCCTCAATAAATGGGCTAATCAATGCGGTTCCGTATGAATTAGCCACATGGCCAATGAACGCATGCCGCTGTTTGCGTCATACTGCTTAGGGGGACTTCCAAAGAGTGTTGTACAGCGGTGCAGGGTCGTTAAAAACACCCACGAGCCTGTAGGAATCAGGCCGAGGGTCAAATATAACCACAAGTACGGCGGAATTGTTAGCAGGTAAGTTTGCAATTCCACCGGGATTGCGATTCATTACGATTGACACCCGTCTAATATTGATTGACCCCCGGGTCTGATGGTGGTGACGCCACGCTTTTGATGTGACGCACTCAAAGAGCGAACTCGTGTGCCAGCCACTTGCCTCTGTGCTGCTTATTGTTTACAGCCTCGAGCCTGGCCCCTAGTCGTCGATGTTATTGAGTTCGGCAGACCACGAGCGTTTTTGTTTTGCATATTTGTTTCTTAAATTTCATTTTGAGGGTCCGAGCCGGAAGAAGCTCCAACATTGTGTAAAACTGTCGGGCGGAAATTTCCTTGCCAAGCTCGCCAGCCTTGTTAACTACTGAGTTAGCCATTTAAGCTTTGCCTAACTAGGTAATTTTCTTGCGGATTAATTGCACCGTCAGACTAGGTGAGTGTTTATCGAACGCCAGGCCTCTTGGCGATCCTTCCGTGATGGGTGCAGCTTGTCGGTGTCCACAAACATAGTGTTATGCAGCGGTGTCACTTAAACGTGAATGGGGAAAACGTTGGCAATTCTCAATAAGTGGCACACTGGTGGGGGGGGGGGGCAGGGGCGTCACGGTGGGAGGGGTCGCAAGGAGGGAGTTTGAAAAAACCACTGGACTGGCGCAACTTGCAAATGTTAGACCATCCACGTCTGTGCTCGCGCCGTGTGGTCGAAGAAACTCTGGTGTTATTCTCGTCGTGACGTGAAGCGCTCTGTCGTGTGGCCGCCACCGCCGCTTCTTCCTGTGCAGTTTTACGTGATCGAGTACGCGGCCTGCGACGCGACGTACAACGAGATCGTGACAGTGGAGCGCCTCAGGCCCGTGAACCCCAACAACCCCGTGGGCAAGAACAGCTTTCGCAAGTTCAGCATCCCTGTCCCGGAGGACTTGCGGCAAGCGTGAGTGGAAAAGAAAAAACACAACGCACGTCGCGAAAGACGCGAACCCATTTCGTTTTGCTCCGTGTTTGTCTTTTAGGGTTATATCACTTGGTGTAGGTAGTGTTATAACAAAAATATTGCCATTTAACCCTCAACCACCCGATAAAATTGTAACGTTTAAACATAATTTACACGCGCTGATGTATTGATCAAATTCTGGCCGATAAAGCTCCTCAACCGGTGGATTAAGACTTTTCACGACTGAATTGATATCGGTGTACCGGTGACCTTTCCCTCACTGCTTTGAGCTTAATCAGGTGATGTGCCTGGAAATCGGGTGCTTAATAAGAAGTCTAATTGAGTTTTGCTCTTTTCACTATCATCAGCTGTGGTCCTGCCACCGTTAGACTAAGGCATCCCCCACACTGTCACCGTTTCTAATCATCTCGTGGCACTACGATTCTCTACTGTGGTTGTACTTTCCAGCGCTCTCCCACCTTGGGCTGCAATTCTATCACCAGTCTTTCTCGTGGCTTGTGTGTCTGTATGTTGAACTTCTTTCACACTGTACGTAGCCAACCGTGCTAATCGGAGGTACGGGGGACGAACAACAAACTAAATTCCACGCGTACTTTTCGACACGCTGTTTTACACGTCTTTTAAGTTTTGTTGTTTTGTCAGTGTCCGCGTTTCTGATCCACACGTCACGGCTGACAATGTGCACACATTGAAAACGTTCTTCCACGGGCAAATTGATGTTTATTATTATCTGATTGTTTCGTGTAAAATATTTTCCTTGCTCCTGTTAGTTGCATATTCTCACCCTGCGATGTCCTCCTGTTACTGCCGCCACTGCCGAATATCCTGGGCTGTAGCCATCCCTGTAACAGAGCTGCTTAGCTCAATGGGATCTCACCAGCTGAGCAAATAAAGTCTGAGTCTGACATTCAGATGTCTAAAAGTATTCCATCCTGCCGTTGGTCACCTATTCAAGTCTTTATTTTTTTTATTGTTATCCCGTAAATTATATTGCATTGTTGAGTTGTGACAGTTTTCACAATGCAATTGTGCAGTTCAATGTATTTCTTGTGTTATTGCAGTCCATCTCCCCACGTCTGTATTAAAACGTTGTTGAAATCGTTACCCGTGGCGTGCATTTGATAAATGGTGAGGATTAAAAATGTGAGGTTCAGGTTTCCGTAAAGCTCAAATGTTTAGTGGAAACGATTTAATCGGGATTTCACATTAACGCTACACGGTGTGATACAACATATCTCGTTAAACGCCGTAAAAAGGTAACATTGTGACGAATCGTCCTGCTGCCATTTTCTATTGCCGAGCAATGCACGAGTAGCTGTCCGTTATGGCTCTGCTGTGCCCGCGCGTGTCATTCTGCACCCAGGTGTGTGGATGAAGCCACTCACAGAGACTTCAAGAAGGCCATCGGAGCCAACTCTGTCGTGTTTGACACCGAGAGCAGCAGCCTCGTCGTCATGGTGAGTTCTTCAATGACACCCGCCACTTGCGTTCGTGTTGTGTCGATAACGTAACGGGTGTCTTGGCTCGATTTATTTTTGCCTGAGGGACTCCCTAATGGCAGATGTGTCTGTGCCATTTATTCACTCAAGGAAGCCCCGCCGTGTCGAAATTCCGTTTGACCATATATTCTCCACAATGACGCTCATTATTATTATGTGTTATGCATCAATATACAATTTTGTACTAAACTGCGACCAAATGTGTAAAGCGGAAGCATCCTTGCCTCGGACATTGGCAGTTCATCGGCATTGATTGAAGCGAGCCTGACTGCTGATGAGACACTGCGTGTCGAAACCGGTCCAGAGTTCGCTTGTCTTTAATTAATACTGCTGAAAAAATTCAATCCCCTGGGTTGTGTAAAAATTACTTTCAGTCAGTCTGGCCTGCATTCTCACCTGTTAAAACAAATTAAACTTGAAACTATATTCCATCCCATCTGTGGGCTCCTGGCAGGAGAATATTGCATTAGTTTTACCAAGTAGCTTCCATGACCAACCACCACATGTCCAAGCAGTTCTGTGGATTGATAGAGGGGGCTAAACGAACATGCCTCGGCTATAAGATCCCAGCATTTGTGTGGTGCTGGCTCCATCCTCATACAAGCACAGGAAATGCTGTACATATAAAACAATATTCAGCTACAGCCGTTTGTCAATCCACTGCTAAGTCACAGCCTTCTCACATCGTGTCAGTCATGGGGGTTGGGGGGGGGGTGGTTTATCCATACTTTACCGCGCTGGTCAATGCGAGGTTGGCGGAGGGATTCCCTGGTACCGGTTTGCCACCGGTGTTGGCCGTGGCCGGGAAACGAACTCGGGGTTTGCCAGATTCGTAATGCGGTGCACGGCCTGCTGCGCCACAGCTCCGTGCGAGTCCCGCGAGTGGTCAGTTAGTGACACGTGTCTATTGCAAGTCGATTGGAGAGTTGCTGTAATTTATGCAGATTGCTTCTGGCGCGGAGCGCTCGCGAGCTTTGTGTACAAAAGGCTCCGCGTGAATGCAAACTTGACAATGCAAATATTTCCAAATTAAAACAGAATCAAAATATGTAGTTGTACGGGAGGAATCCAATGAGCTGTAAACATCTTTTTTCACAGATGTCCGCTCGGGCACATCACAACGTTTAAACAACAAACAATACAAAAAGACAAATCACTAAAAAACAACATTCATCCATCTGCTGATCCATCCAGAAGGAACCTTCGGTACTTACCAATAAAAACCGCTGTGCTTTCTCTGACCCTGCGCTGCTGCTCACTGAGCTGTAATTTCCTCGTTGTTTGTGATCACGCAGTCCACGTGCGAGTCGACGGTTAAGCGTGCGGGCTTGCTCAGCGACATGCACTTCAGGAGCATCCGCACGAAGCTGCTGCTGCTGGCGCGCAACCAGGAGGCCACCAAGCAGCTGGAGGTGATGAGGGGGGGAGGTGTCTGCTGCAGCTGGGGGGGGTTTGCAAAACACGCGGGGGGGGTGGGCACCGCGTACCCCGTTGTCGTGAATAATGGTCAATACGCTCGACTTGCAATCCAGAGGCCACCAGTTCGATTTGATCTGCTCTGCGTAGCAGTTGATGCGATAATATTCTTAGGTTTTTTAGTGAAAAAAGTCACGTAGGTTAAAAATGATAATGAAGTAATAATGAATGAAAATAACAAAATTAAATCACGACGTTTCGGAGGCAACACAAGTCTCCGTCTTCAGATGGGACCGTCACAGCCAAATTTACTGTATCAAGTGTTACTTGATACAGTAAATACTTGATACAGTAAATTTGGCTGTGACGGTCCCACTTGAAGACGGAGACTTGTGTTGCCTCCGAAACGTTGTGATTTAATTTAGTTATTTTCATTTATTTTTATTTTATTATAATTTTTTACCTACGTGGCTACCGATGAAAACCTAAGAATATGAATCCTTGCTGTCACGAAAGCTTCAAATCTAGAACTGATGCGATAAGTCGCGTTCCTTAAATCTTCCCGTCTTCGTCCACCCAGTAGTGTAGATGGATACACCATAGTCGATGTGTGGTGGGGTAAAGTGTGGGTTTTTCCACCTCTTCCAAGACGTCTGACCGGCTTGGGCCACTCACCACTGTGTAGAACTGTGTATAAGTATCCCTCGTTACTTCAGCGGCCGAGTGAGCGAGCGATTTGCAGGGGCTGGACCTTCACCCGAACGGTGTGTGTGCGCGCGTGTGCGTGTCTGCACTCCAGACGACGCGGCAGCTGGCGGCGGCATTCCGCGAGGAGTTTTCGGTGCGCGACGATCTCATCGGCCTGGCGATCGGCGCGCACGGCGCCAACATCCAGGCGGCTCGCCGTGTGTCCGGCGTTTCGGCCATCGAGCTCGACGAGGAGGGGGGAGCCTTCCGCATCTTCGGCGAGGTGCGGTACTTGCGGCGTGTGTGCGTGACCGGGAGGGGGGGTGGGTGGTGGGGTGGAAAAATAAAGAGGGGAAAAAATCGATATGTATAAATATCTAGAAATGAATAAGTACATGACAGCAAAAATATGTTATTTATGTGTACAAACTCAAATTAATCTATAACCATATGTAAAATCCATGCACCAAAGGTGCTTGGTAGTGAGTGGCTCTATATGGTATTTAGACTTCAAACTTCCTTGAATGCAGGAATTCATATTCTTGGTTCTTTCGGTAAATTCATGTAGATCGAAACGTCGTGGTTTTTTTGCCTTTATTTTTAATTTAAATTACTTTTTTTATTGGAATTTTATTTTCTGTCTGCGTGACTTTACCGAAAGAACCAAGAAAATAAAAACTCTTTCCTGCCAATTTTTATTTTATCTGGAAGAAAAAAAACAGCTGAACCATTGGAAATGATCATTGATTTGGGGGCATAGTGTCTCTTTCCACTATAAATAAAAAGTTAAAAGTTGGCCCAAGTGGTGATTAACGAACAATCAAATAACCAGAAATGTGCTTCAATCCCTTCACAATCTCGCAAGCTAAGCACAAGAGGGGGGTGTATGTGTTGGATAGAAGAGGGCACTGCAGCAACATGCATTGTTGTACTGTTCTATGCTGCCAACTCTGCACCCCCCCCATCACCATCCTGTGCTGACCCGCAGCGTGGTGAAGTACCGTCAAACGTCCTCCATGACACCCAGAGGCGTGGCGAAACCTTGATTCGATTTTAAAGTCCTTTTAAGAAATAAACCATGCAAGCGTTCTTTATATCCACAGCGCAGATCATCTGTATCAAGTATGAAAATGTAACAATAATGTGCCACGTTGCTGATGATGATGATTGACGACGACGATGTACTGAGCGTACGACTCTCCCTCCGTCGCTCCGCAGACCCCGGAGGCCGTGAGACAGGCGCGCAGTATGCTCGAGTTCACCGAGGACTCCGTGCAAGTTCCAAGGTTGTTTGTCGGTGAGAAACAATTATCTCCTCCTGCTACGCGTTGACCCAGCTCCCACGGATGCAACCGTTGCCGCTCAGCGCTAGCGCTGTGGGTGCCAACAGGGTCGGCTGATTTGGAGATTAATCCCCGGGGCTTTTTCTCAAGAGCAGCGTTGAACCCGCATTGTTTTGGGAACAGCCTCCATGGCCCTCTAACCATGCCCGTTGCCCCCCTTTTATGACGGTGTCAAGGGTGCAGCCGTTAGACCTTCAGCGCGAAACGCCGGCGGTGACGTCATGATTAGCTGGGCAGCGGTGGTGGCTACGCACGCGGCCTGTAACCCGGCATCTTTATAGGCAGCGAGGGCTAGTGGATCATCGTGCAAATGTTGCTGCTACGAGTTCGGAAACCCGACTTCAATTCTTGGCCACAGCTATCATCGGTGGCCATCGCAATCTGAATAGGTCCTGGGCCACTGCTTCACAAACCCCAACTTACCGACCGAGTGATGTGTTTTAATAGAACCCCCATGGGAGCATAAAAGTACAGTGCAATTGATTTTGCTGCGTGACCTCTGCTGCTCATCACAGTCATTAGTGGCTGGAAATAATAATGTTATCGGCATCTGAGCCTTTCCTGCAGTCTGCCGTAATATTATTTTGTGGACAGTCCATGCCCGCAGAGGACGGTTATTCGGTAAATTTTGTTTAACCGGCCACGCCTTTGCTGGTGAGACCATGTAAGGCTTACACTTTTTATTTTAATTTGAACATGCTGTAATTGAACAGGCCGGTAGATTAAATTCCACTTTGTTTATGCAATTCATGTTGCCCTCTTTCCTATTTATATATGGCTTTTCTATTCATGTACATTTCCTATTTGATGTGTATGTGTGGACATTTTTAGCCCGGATGGTTTCGCGAGCCCACCCACGCACCGACGCACCCACCCACCAAACCCACCCACCCACGCACGACGCACCCACCCACCCACACACCGACCGACCCACTCACCCACCGATGCACCGATCCGCCCATCGTCGAGTAATTTAAACGAACAACTTTTTGCGGCTGGATTGTGCTCCAGATTAACGTAACTTGTGTTTGGTCTTCTCTGTCAGGCAAGGTGATCGGTAAAAATGGCAAAGCAATCCAGGAGATCGTCGATAAATCCGGCGTTGTGCGGGTCAAGATTGAGGGCGATGACACCAAGAAGCATACGCGCGAAGAGGTGAGGCCCTCTTAGTGCCCCAAATGCTCTCTTGATGACACGGAGATTGCGGGTAAAGACCTCCTGAATGATCCTGACATGCTCTGAAGACCCCCCAGGTTCCCCCCCGAACCTATCTTGGTTCTTGTGGTTCTGAAGAACCCCCCTCAAGCGTGTCGAGGAGCCGATAAGAATAGTGGCCCTGGAGATGATGTGATTATGAAATAATGTGATGGTGATAACTGATACTGGTGGTGGTCATGCTGGTAATTTACAGTTATTAACATGGTGATTTGTGATTGTATTGAAGCAGCACTCTTGATTAGTGGTGGTGATCATGCTGTTGACTGTGGTGGTGGTGATGATGACAGTGCTCTTGACTGTGGTATCAAAGACAGTACTGTTGTGATGATGGACCCAACTGTTGATTGCGGCGGTGATGATAGTGGCGGCGATTGCGATGATGCTGGTGGCTGCACCGACACAGCACCGAATTCGCTAATCCTTGTCGTCTGATGCTGCTGCTGCCAACAGGGAATGGTGCCGTTTACCTTCGTCGGGACCAAGGAGAATTTGAGCAATGCACGCGTTCTGCTGGAGTATCACCTCTCTTATCTCAAGGTACCCGAGCACGCGACACGCGGGGATTGCCGCGCCAACGCAACATCAAACAACGTCTCCAGCGGTCGTGATGTGTCGCAGCAAACCCAAGATTTTATTGCGCCCGGTTCTCGGTTATAGCCGGGATTCATTATCTCGGTGTAGGCGCGCGTACTCGCTCATCGCTGCACGAAGAGCAACGTGCTCACGGTGGTTGCGTAACTTGATCAAGGCCAGCTCCCAGATTATTTTTCAGCACGGGGGCGAGAATCGTCTGCTTGCAGACGCAGTTAAAGCGGTGGAGGGGAGAGGGGGTGCAGTGTAGATGTTGTGTGAGATGGACCCTTCTATGTATGTACTTTGAACTTTCGCACTGTACATAGCCAACTGTGCTCATCGGAGGTGTGGGGAAGGACAACAATCTTCAAATCGAGATTGACAACAATCTTAAACACAAAAAGCACCGTCAAAGAAATGAGCTTTCAATCTAGATGTGGATAGCCTCCAGTGGCTTCCTAATCGGATGGAAGAGCGTTCCAGACGGCCGCAGAAGCGTGTTTGAAAGCGAGCGTGATGCAGTGACCGTCTTTGTTCGATGGCTAGCCAAAAGCCGCTGCTTATGAGGATGCATGATGATACGCTCCTTGACGAGATCGGCAAGGTATTTTGGTTCGTTTGTGGCAAGCGCTTTGTGTGTAATGTGTGACCTTATAAAGGATGGGTCTGTCCCCTGTACCCAACTTAGACGTTCAACGTCGTGCCGTGTGACTCTGCTGTCCGTAGAGAGGCCGTGAATTGATGTGGATTTTCTCCGGGTGCTGTGGGTTTTTCCTTTTTTCTTTCTTTCCTACATCCCAGAAATAATGATAATAGTTAAGGTCCTCCTGAAAAACAAGTGAGGTTCATTGTACAATGGTGGTGTTTATTATGCTGAATGCACAGTAAAACATTAAATATGTATTTAAATCGCAAGAATGATAATGCAGTATATTACAAAGTACGTACTTTCTGAAGGAGACACAAAATATACAGTCCTTTATCATTCCACTGCTGGATGAAGGTCTCCTTACGCCATGTCGGTTATGGGGGGTTGTTTGACCATATCTCACCGTGCTGTACGTTAAATCTCAAAGGTACATCAGTCAGCCCTTGGATATCCCCGCGATAGGTCGTACAGTTAGAAACATAATTTTAACTTTCTTCGAACTATACATTTCTCTCGTCGACATTAACACTGCACCATCAGGGCCGCTTTTAATAGCGACGGGAGCTAAATAAAAGCCACCGAAATTCCTCAAAAGCGCTTGGCAGTCAAAGGACGGGGAGGGAGGGAGGGAGGCGAGTATATCTTGCACCCACGACACATTTTCAACCGATTCAGCGAAGCGGGTGCCCCCTGAGCTATGTGATTCTGAAAATAGCCCCGGCACCACCACCTGTCGTTGAGGCCTGTGTCTCGTCCGTTACAGTCTCAGCAGAGGCCGGGCGACCACGTGTCGTAGTCTCTCGCCGCACGAGGCCGCCGCCACTGCAAGCCTACGCAGTTGGGCTGTGTAAACGTACACGCCTTGTTCCTTCGCTCACTCGCTCGCTCGTCCGTCTGTTTCAATCGTTTAGGATGGGTGAGGGCGGTGAGTGCGGTGGTTAGCACACTGCAGCCTCGGTTTGACTTCAGTGGCGAGTGGTAATATGAACTGGTCTTGAGCGCATAGCCAGTTTCACCAAACCGGCGTGGTGAGGTGCAGTCCATCGTTCCCCATGTGGTGACACGGTGTAGAGAGAGAGGCTTGGAGTGTGTACAAGGGTTGCTTGTTATTTATAGTATTGTGTGGCATGGTAATGGACAGTGAGTGTGGTTGAGATGCTTGGCCAATGTGTGGACGTTTTGGTTTGGCTGACGATGTTTATGTCAATGGTATTTAATTGGGTTCACATTGATCCCCAGCAGCTGCTAGAATGTTTTGTTCACCGTAAAGTTATAAAGGCGACTTGGACTAGAATCAAATCTCGATCCGGAAACTCAGCAATTCATGAAATCCCGTTGGGGGGTGAATCGTTACAGATATTAAATTTTCTCTCGATTTAACTCCGTAGATCTGTTTAATGTTTCCTCGAGCTTGATTTTGTAATTGTACCACGATCAGTCGAACAAATATTCTGCCCCGAGCCGACTTGCACGACAGGGAATTTGTAACTTAACATATTTGTGCAATTCCTTTGTTCTTATACTCGTTGGTTTTTTTCGGTAAAGTCACGTATATAGAAATAAAATAAAATTTTAATAAATTCAATTAAATCACGACGTTTCGAACGCAACACAAGCGCTCATCAATTGGTGACGATGAGCGCTTGTGTTGCGTTCGAAACGTCGTGATTTATTTTAATTTATTAAAATGTTATTTTATTTCTACATATGTGACTTTACCGAAAAAAAAAACAATGAGTATAATGTGTGCAGTCATGAAAGCTTCAATTCTAGACCTTTGTTCTTTTAAATCTGACACTGTTCTTTTTGCGCCGATTTCTATTTGCGTCATTCCTGCGCTTTACTTTGTTTGTTTTCGCACTTTGTCATTTTGGCGACCCAAGTCACCGCTTCAAATGAGACTCCGATCCTCAGCTCTCATGTTCTCATCCGGTTAAACAAAACAAACACGATACACTTGCTCAGAGATCGTTTGTCTCACAACGGCTTAAGCTATGGCTCGCGTTGACTTGATGCCCTCTTCTCAGCGGTGTTAAATTTGACACTGGTCATTTCGACTGCTAATACTTTCATGTGCACCTCAGGAAATTAAAGTGGAAAGTAGATTACAGCGCCAGGAATCCGCGAGTTAAGCGCCTCGCCTTAGCATGGCCAGTGGAGGGCGTGGGAATCCACAGATGTAGCGGATTAGACCCGTTCAGAAATCCCACAAGTCACACTTTGGGGGGGGCCTTCAACTTTCTACTGCGTGTCGGGAATATTGCGTGTACGCGCCGCGCTCCACACCCGACGCCTCCGAAGCTCAATTCCCCCGCTCACGGCCAACATCGGTGACGAATATCTAAACCGGTCCCAGGCCTCCCCTGAGACTTGCCATATGGTGCGGTTGTCTAAACAGCGCTGGGGAAACGAAGGCTGCCAGGCCTGTGGCGCTGGCTGCATCGCCCACTCGTGTGCCATGCCGGCCTCGAATGGTGTTCGAGAGCAAGCGCACTTGCCCTAACAGTCTGCTGAAGGCTATATGGGGGGGACATTTGTCTTTGTAGCATATATTGGCATGAAAAATGTACAACGGTAACGCTGTACAGAAGTAATCGATAAAATACTTTTTTGTGTTTATTACTTTTAAGTTTGATCTTGAGTATTGCTATTGCTGGGAAATTCTTAATGTGTTTGGTTTAGATTATTTCTGAGATCAACTGAATGTGAATGAATGGTATAGATTTATTGTTGTTTTTCTCTCCAATTTTCTTTCACTTTCATTCCATCTCAGACCACTAGTCAATCCTCTTCATGCTCTTAAATATCCTCTTTGTTGTTTCCACTGTGAGGCCCTACTCCTGCGATTGAAGTGGGCACGTCGCATCGCTGGTAATCACATTCGTGACCAACGGCTTTCTTGTAACTCTCCCTTTTAACTATAATGCTCTCATAACCGATGAAATCTGCTCGTGTGCGGGTACAAGATCGGATTGTGATGTCGCGGGACGTTGAGAGATGGCAACAGGAGGCGGAGGCCTCTCGCCCAGCTGGGCGATAGATAACCGCCACCGATGGCGACAACGATTTATCGTCGATTGCGCGAACGCTGTCGGCCTCACGCCCCGCGTCTCGCCCCGCGTCTCGCCATGCGCAGGAGGTGGAGGAGCTGCGCATGGAACGGCTGCAGATCGACGAGCAGCTCCGTCAGATCGGGCTGGGCTCTCGCTCGGCGCTGCTGGGCGGCCGTCCCGGCGAGCGCGAGCGACCCGACGCCCCCGCCGGGCCCGCTGCCGCCGCTGCTGATGACTCGGCGCCACCGGGGGGCCCGACACGCGGGGGTCGCTCGTACCTGGGCCGCGGGCGCGCCAGAAGGGCCTACAACTCGGGATACGGTGAGGACGCCCAAGCGCCGTGTGGCTTCGATGCTTTTCAAACCCGAGGGTGAAACGTTTCGTGCGTCAGCTTTGTCCATTTCTCTGTAAACGGGGGGTAGTTCGTTCACTGTCCTAGAGATGATCCAGCACGAACAAAACTTGGGTTATGTACGTATAATCGGAGGTGTGGGGATGGACAACAAACTAAAGACAAAAAGCAGATCTAAAGAAATTAGTTTGAAAACTATATTTATACAGTTGATATGTCAAAGGGTTTATCCGCAAACAGCCCATGGTGAGCAGAGCCAATATCCGAGCACAGTTGTGTCATCGCGCACTACTGGAGTACTGCTTCCTGTTGCCGATTGTGACAATGACAGTTACAATGACAATGTTCTTTAATTGCTTGCCCCATCCCATCCCCCTCCCACCACTACCTCCGCTTTGTAAAAAGGAACCAACTCCGAGCACTCGAACGCGTCCGAGACAGAGTCGGAGAGACGGGACGAGCCGCGGGGCCGCGGGGGCCCAGCGCGCGGCAGGGGCAGCGCCCCCACGGCGCGAGGTGGGGCGGCACGGGGAGCCGCCTTTGCCCAAGGTACACGGCACTCGGTGTTGTACGCGGGCACGGCGGAGTCTGCGCGGTTGCGGCGGCTTCCGTTGGTTGGGAGAAGCCGATGAGATCAAACGGTGCCTGGACGTGAGACTGCCTGTCGCTCGCGCTAAAAGCGGTTTTTGTAAAGGATATTTGAGGGTAACAGACATTTGACCAAATTCAACCACCGAGCATTAAACGTTGGGTTCGACTCCTTTACGAGATATCAGAGGTAACTCTGTGATAGCCGCTTCCATGGTCCTATCTCAGACATGGAAAGAACATCTTCTTGGTTCTTTCGGTAAAGTCACGTAGAAGGGAAATAATAAAAATAAAACATAATAAAATAATAATATTATGTTTTATTTTTATCATTTCCCTTCTAAGTCACGTAGAAGGGAAATAATAAAAATAAAACATAATAAAATAATAATATTATGTTTTATTTTTATCATTTCCCTTCTACGTGACTTTACCGAAAGAACCAAGAAGATGAATCCCTGCAGTCACGAAAGCTTTAAATCGAAATGGAAAGAACACTTGTGAATATTTATTTTTAAAGGTTGTATCTTTTAGAGCGGCAAAAAAACTTGAAACCTGTCCTTAGGACGGTCGGCTTCCTGGCTCGTGCATGACCAGCTCTCTGGCGCCACGCCGCGGTTTCGTGAATCAACGCGCGTGCACACCCTACCCCCCTCGCCCCCGCCACGCTTAGGGGGAAAGGAGACGGCGGGCGCCAACTCGCTGGGATTCGCCGAGGATGCTGAGCGGGCGGGCGACACGGACGGCAGCGATGCGTGGCCCCGGCCGCGGCGGAAGCAGTCCCGCAGGCGGCGCACGGACGAGGACGCCGTGGTCATCGACTCGGTCAGCGAGTCCGACACCACCTCGGTCAACGGCAACGGTGAGCATCTTTCGGCTCGGCAAATGGGGTGTGATTTGAAAGACCGATGAACGTATTCAAAGTTGCGTCGTTCAGTTTTATCGTTGCGCAGTGGCAATATGGTCCAGGAGCTCGATGCCAATGTCGAGGTCTGCTGCTGGCAACGACGAGAGGGATTCAGGAGAGAGTGTTGATTTGCTGTTCCTTCTCCATAGAAGGAGCGCAAACTATAGTGGTATTTACTCTGCTACGGTTGCATGGTCACAATCGCACTGCTGTGCCTTGTCTGTAAAGTTACGTCGTTAAATTTTTTCCAACGATGCTTTGTAGACGTGCAAGAATGCGTCAGTTCTTTTATTAAAATCGCAGGAGGATATATTTTTTTTCGTGCTAAACGATCGAGTAATTGTTACGTGTGGACGAAGAGCGCGTGCAAATCTTTACCGACGACACGGCAGTCTTGAGATCACAGAGTCGACGCAAAAAATAAGATGCTCGCTCTATGTACCGTAGGCCAGCTGTCTGCGTTAACAGCACGCGGCCTAATATTTCCAAAACAAAGACCTTCAACTCAAAATAGTTGCAGCCCGACCCATTCATTCTGCGTTATAAACACGTGGCCACCGAGCGGACAGGGAGGAGGGGGGAGGAGCTATGGCACAGGGGGCTGATCCCATCGAGTCCCATAAAACACAGAGGGGACCGTCGTTCTGTGGCCATTCCTGGGCCTGCAAGAAAGGGGCAGCCTTTCAATGGCCGTGCGAGCAAGGCACGCGATCTGTCGAGGGTGTAAACGGCGGCGGTGAGAGGTTTGCCCGACGGCGTTCACGACCTCCAGACGAGGGAGAGGAGCCGTCGCGGAACAAGAGACGGAACAGGAGCGCTCGCCGGAGAATGCCTGGGCCCAGCTCGCCGAGCCTGGAGAGGCAGCCAGGTAGTCGGGGGAGAGACGCCGCAGACGCTGCGTGCGTGCGTGCTAACCCAAGGGGGTTCTCAACTCGGTGGTCCCCCGGCATTCCCGATCCCCCTTTACACAGCCGCGATCAAAATCTCACTTCATGGACGGCCACGCGGCACCACCGTACAGACTCGCAGTCCAACTCCGGCGGGTCGGCGGGCACGCGGTTTTGTTATTTGTGAAGTGATTTGTTTGTTTTATTGGCGACCGCAAATGACTGACACTGCCCATCGCCTCCTGGCTTGGCAACACCTCTTTCACCATGGCGGAGGGAACTTCCATAACAACCTGAGCCGCTTCAGTAATTGGAGGATCTGTGTGGCTTATAAATATTCATTGTACATTATCAATGGGCATTGTGGGTAAAATAAATTATTATGGAAGCGTGCTGTCCTTCCACATATATATAAAGATAACATTTTTAGTGTGGTGTTTCTGGAACAATATTGTCCAGCAGCATTTGCTTACGTGGGAAAATCCTGATCTGGTTTCGACTTTCTGAGTCTAATCAGGAGGGACGGGCTTGCTAAAGAAATGCTGCTTGGCCGATGGATGTTCCATGCAGAAACAAAATAATGCGCGGTCATCGTTACCGCTAGATGAGAAGGCAGGAAGGGTAAATGTAGGCCAGGAACACAGTAATTCCTCCTTTAACGCAGTAGTAGATGCGTTCCTGAAAAGTACTGCATTTAGCGAAAACCGCATTTGGCGAAAACAATTTCCCTACAAATAATGTAAAGATAAAGTTTGCCGAGATACGATTTACTACACAAACAGCAAGGTGGTGAGACAGAGAACTGGGGTACGTTGCCACGTACTGTGTCACTCCGCTCAGCCACGCAGCTCAAGAAAGTAGTTGGTCGTTCGGCCGCTCAAAAACTGCGTTATAACGGGGTGTGCGCATTCCGCGTTGTGAAGTGTTCCCGAATGGAAGAACCGTCTTATAGCGACAACGCGTTGTAGTGTAAACACCGCACATTCAACGAGGACCTCCCGTACTTGTCACTTTACAAATCTCATCATTAGACCTCCTTTGCCAGCACCAAAATATAATAATAGGGTTTTTCCCCTTTTTTCTGGCAACAAAACTGAAACCTTTTTACAAGGGTTCATGTAACTGCATTAACCACAATACTTGCAGTCAAAATGCAAACAAAAACACACACTATGATAATATATGCATTGTCCTTGAAACTGATTGGTCCACACCAAGGGATGGCTTTCTTTCAGCTTCAGGTGTGACCCCCTGTTGAGAACTCTTTAACTGAAACCGGCATGGTGAACTTGAAACAGGGAGACGCAAACGTTAACTTTATCGAGGTGGTTTTAAGCTGTTCATTTGGTGAAATGCTTGTGTGTGCCGTGTTCATGTACTAACTTTTTTGAGCGTGATAACTGCATGTTGTTGTGAAAGCGGCATGTTTTTGGCCATAATAACATTAGTTTGCCCTAGAACGTGGAAGTTTCAAGATGTCTTTTGCAGGAGGATCTTGCTTTTGGGATGTTTGGCTAGATTAGTCGGATTTATTTCAAAGAATATTTGAGTGGCATTTTGCTTTGGTTGTGCGCACTTGCTGAGCAACAGGCCCCAAGGCCAAAAACCACCCAAACGGCCAGCAATAAACAGCACGGTCAAAAGTTGTGTAACGGGTAAAAGACGATGAGATAAAATTCCAAAGGTGAGGGAAGTGTTGTGACCTGCAAATGTGGTGGTTGAACACGGTGTAGATGGTGCGACCCGAGTCCTCGGCAGTTGCCAAACAAATACATTATAAGGTCGCACTCAATACAATTTGTTGTCCTTCCACCACACCTCAGATTAGCACAGGTTGGCTTTCCTACGGTGCGAACGAAGTTCAACATACAACATGGGTGGATATGAGTAGAGGGCAAATTCTGCTATCCGCGACCCTCTAATCCCCAACGCAATTCATTTGGGCGGTGGTGGAGTTGGTCCAATCGAGACTGACGCAAGGGTGCTGTCCTTTCGGTGACGTCACATCAGCAAGCCTTCGCTAGACTTTCGCACCTCTGATTAGCGCGGTTGGCTACGTACGGCGTTCAACATGCATGTTGGCCACGGAGCGCCGCGACGATGTCGCCATTCGTTAGCGACGGTTGACGGGACGACACGGCTGCGCCGTTGTGGTTGTGCGTCGAACGTTAACACGTGCGGGCACGCGCGTGTGTGTGGTTTGTTGAAGTAGTTTGCTGACGAGCGACTCGGTCGTTTGAATAATAACAAACGCTTGTTCCAGGGCGGTTGGTGGAGCGGTGCGAGGTGGTGCATGCCGTTTGAGCGCCATTGTCGCTGTGCCGTAATTATGCATGTTCATAACGATGCACTGTTGTTGTAATGCTGCAAGGCCTTCTCAGTTTCTGGTTTCAGACTTGAAAGTATATATAGAATTGCCGACTTTACACTTCAGTTATCTTTGAATTTTAGAAAGTAACCATTTTTTAGGTAAGCTGAATTTTTGTTGAAAATTACTGTATCCGTCTGCTTGCTGCGCTGCTCGTACGCATTGATACGCGTGGATCTTTAAGCCTTGCGATTCACACATCGAATCGTGTATCCGTCACATTTAATGGGTCAACGTAAGCTCTGCAGCCACGAGATGGCGCTGCTACATTCACCAGGGCTCAAAATAAACCAGCTATTGAATTAACTTGCAACCCTCAATGTGGAGACAAGTCATCATCACATCTCTCGGGGGGGGGGGGGGGTGGAGAAACGTGACAATCCCATTCCTACCATTCGCACACTTTACACGGGCGCTTACAAAAAAGTTACAAATGAGCTATTCCGCTGTACGGGGGTCTACGTGCTTAATTAGCGCAGGGTTTTGTTGGGGGTAAAGGGTGTGCGACATTTAGGTGACCCTTGGGCACAGGATGTTTTCTGCCCCGGCATGGTCTGAATCCCACGAGTATTATCTTAATGTTGTTGTGTTTTTCACCACCCCCTGCCCGCCCCCCCCCCACCCTGTGCAGTGACTGTGGCAGATTACATTTCAAGGGCCGAGTCTCAGAGCAGACAGTTGCCACCACCCGCTGATTCTGGGAAGGCCCCTAACGCACAGGTAAGTTCTCATTCATTGCCCAGGAGCTGTGGGTGGATGAATCCTCACGGTCAGAATTGACCAGGTGGTTCATAGAGGTTCATATAATGCCTTTTGTTAAAACAGTGGCGTGTGAGAATTACAACAGGGGGAAAAAACACGTATAACAGCATTCTTTATATCCAGCTCGCATCATTTAGTATTATTGTTGAGATTTTGTATGCAAATTGTGCGGTTTTGTGTAATGAAGTGATCTGGCCTAAAGGATGTAATCGTCTAAAATAATGAACCCGGCGACCTGAGTTGGCTTCCCGGCCATAGTTGACATCGCTCGTGAATGATTCCAGAACCTGTCCGATCGCCTCTCTTCACGAAACCGCACAGACCAGCGTGGTGAAAGTATATTGGTGCCACAGTGACGAGATGTAATCTACCTCTCCTGGTATACAAGAGGTGGTGACGGTTTCAATCCCGACCCCTGACACCTGCTGTTTATTGGGAGTTTGCGTGTCGATCTCCCCGTGGTCGCGTGGATCTTTCTCCGGGTCCTCCGGTTTTTCCCTTCACATTCTGAATCAACATCACGCGTTTACAGTCTTTGGCCGCTGTAAATGTTCACACGATAGGCCACATTGTTGAGCGACAGCTCAAGTGGGCCTTACCTGGTGAAATTTAAAAAAAGTTGTAGTTTGGTTTAATAAAAATACGAATAAACCCTGTACACGCTGTGGGAGAGAGGCAGGACCATGCTGCTGTCAGCTCCCGAGTCTGAACGTGTGCGCTGCGTTGCCCCCGCTCAGGACCGCGGCGGTGCCATCGCCGCCGGCGCTGCGGAGCGCGGAGACGCCGTGCCAAAACCTCCCGGCGCTGCGGTGAACGGCGCCAGCAAGCAGCTGCAGCAAAGAGGATCCAGGGAGCGAGGGGCCAGGAGGGGAGACAAGTTTGAGGGGAAGGTTGAGACAGCTGCCCCAGCAGTAGCAGCGGCGGCAGCTGCAGCTGCAGCAGCCACCAAAACCGTGATGCTTAATGGCACCGACTAGAGGAGAGATACAGAGAGAGAAAAAAGAGAGATGAAACAAAAGATGACATTGTAATTCAAACCGTTGTTGCAGTTGTTTTTCACCCCTGAAATTTCCGTCTTTGAGAAATGCAGTACGAAGGTGAACCCTGCAAGAAAAAAAAACCGAGTCATTGGTTTTTAAGACGTGTCCGTTTTTTTGTACTTCTAAAAAAAAAAATACCTTCTTTTTTTAAATTGAAACAAGCAATCCACGTGAGGAGTGCCTTGTGGAGGAAAAAAAATAAGTATATAAGGAATTAATATACAGATGTATATTGTTAAGAAACTACTACTACTAATAAATTAACAAGTAGGGGGGATGTAGGCTGGCATTTCGGCGATGCTGCTTCGTTATGGGACGTGCGAAGAAATAAAAAACAAAACCTTTGTCGCGGGAAAACAGTGACGCTCAAGAAGGACTTTGTAAAAAAAAAAAAAATGTGCTGTATGATGTTGCATGTTACATTTCTCATTCTATCCGGCACGGTGTTTTTGTTACCTTTCGGGGGGGCGGCGGCGGCACGGGGCGATGGGGCGGGAGGCGCGCGGCCTCTTGTGGATGCTGAGATTGCGAACGACGACGTTTTAAGTGACAATTGTAAAGCGAAAGGCCCGCGCGCAACGCACGGTCAAGTTGCAAGAGGGGGGTGGTACGGTGGAGAGAGAGAGAGTTTCGTGCGTGGCGGACTTGTTGCGTTTTTTGCGCCAGGATTTAGTTTCGCCACGGAGGAAGAGAGGAGGACGGATCGCCCGCCGACTTAGTTGGTCCTTCACCCGCCCCGGGTCGGGCAGCAAAAAAGAAAACGGAGGAAGAGAGAGAATGTCTCTCGTTGAGGTGTTGAGGTGGTCGGTGGTCGGCCACGAAGCGATGAGCTCTGGGGGAGTCCTGGTGGCACGTGGGGGGGGGGGGCGGGGTTAGCGCGTTGTAATAGTAACGACGAGCATTGGCGGGGAACGAACGAGAGATTTGAAAATCGCGTGACGAGTGATTCTGTCCCTTACGTTTTGGTTTTTTTTGTCAACTGTTATTATTGAGAATTAAATTACATTGCTTTTTAAAACCAAACTGAGCCTTTTTCTGTCGTTTTTTTTCCTCCCCTTCGCACAAAATGTACACGGAACGTGTTGGTGGAGTTTTTGTTGTTTGTATGTTTTAGTTTTACAGTCGCCAAGTGAAAAAGTAAAAGAAAAGCAAGCGGCTTCGTGGGAGCGAGCTTTGCTCGGTGTGCTCCTACCTAACGCACGGGGATGGTGGTGAGATGCAGACTCCGGGACAGAGGTTCGCGGTTCGAATCTAGCGACCGCCCTGCGTAATACTTTAATACTGCGGAGTGCATCATGAGACCACCTTTGCCAGTACCAAAATATAATAATAGGGGTTTTCCCCTTTTTTCTGGCAACAAAACTGAAACCTTTTTATAAGGATTCATGTCTGCATTAACCACAATACTTGCAGTTAACATGCAAACAAAAAACACACTGATAATATATGCATTGTCCTTGAAACTGATTGGTCTACACCAAGGGATGGCTTTCTTTTGAGCCTCGACCCAATTTCTTTTGAGCCTCGACACAATTGCGTTCACCATAAAAGGCACGCGCCTTCGCAGTGCACGCCAAAGCATCCCGTGATGTCATTCGCAAAGGGCATGCCGTGGTGTGTTGGTGGTCTGAATAAAATACGAAAAACAAGTATAACCCGTAAAAACTAAGTTTTTCACTATAAATCCTTTATATGCGTGGCCGCTAGAGTCCTCTCGTCCTCTGGCTTGAGATGGCTGCCACCTATGGGTCAGATGATTGCATTGCACCATTAAGAAATTGGTAATTAAATATAATATTTTTGTCCTAAAAAGTGTAAAATTTTGGAAAAAAATTTCACGAACATTAATTGTCACGCACAACGAGTCTGTGTGGAAAATGTCAGCTCGATTGGATCACGGGAAGTGGGTTAAAAAACGACCGAAAGATTTGCACGGTCGTAAGCAAGCAAGCGAACTTAATATAAAGGATTTAAAAATGTACCCGCTAATTACTCAATTGCGATTACACGCAACAATTAATTGCAAAAACTTGGCAGGAACCTTCTGAAAACGAGTCGTGAGGCTGGGCGAGGCCTTTCCTGGGTGATCGAGCGTCCTGAAGAAACTTTTTTCTGCCTTCTTCAACAGCGATGATACTGCCACAGCTGTGCGATGGTTTATTATGAATAATATATTATTTTATTATGTTTTCTTTTTATTATTAATAATATATTATTTTATTGTGTTTTATTTTTATTATTTTATTACTTCCCTTTTACGTGACTTTACCGAACGAACCAAGAAGATGAATCCCTGCAGTCACGAAAGCTTTAAATCTAAATGATTTATTTGGTTAATTTCCAAAGTGCAGGCTGCTGTACAGTGGCAGTCATAGAACCTGCAAACTCTGAAATTACAGACCAATAATTGTTTCCATTGAAACGCTTCCGCAAATTGGCTCTTAGACACATCTAAAATTCAGCAAGTCACGTCAACTTGAAACGTAGGATTTGCGTAACCAATACAATTGATCCATTTGTTGGCTTTGTGCCAAATTTCATGTCAACCCTCCTCCACAAGATTGTCCAGATTACAAATATATATAATGCAATGAAGATTATTCGTTGAAATAAGATCATGTTTTTTTAAATCCTTTATATTAAGTTCGCTTGCTTGCCTGCTTGCGTGCTTGCTTGCTTGCTTAGGACCGTGCAAATCTTTCGGTCGTTTTTTAACCCACTTCCCGTGATCCAATCGAGCTGACATTTTGCACACAGACTCGTTGTGCGTGACAATTAATGTTCGTGAAAAAAAATTTCCAAAATTTTACACTGTTTAGGGAAAACAAATTAAATATTTAATTACCAATTGCTTAATACTGGCAGACAATCATCTGACCCATATGTGGCAGCCATCTCAAGCCAGAGGACGAGAGGACTCTAGCCGCCACGCATATAAAGGATTTAGAGTGAAAAACTTTGTTTTTACGGGTTTACTTGTTATAAACGTGACAATCGTGTCGATTAGCACGGTTGGCTACGTAGGGCGTGAAAGAAGTGCAACATTCACGACGAGGATTCTGGCGTGAAACTGCCGCCAGGTAGCCCAACCCACGAGCCACGTGTGCATCAAGTAACGCGATTGTATGGACACATTCTCTTTTTGTTGTACATTTTCAGAATCCTTCATACTGGAAGAATCCGATGAGCTCTCAAAAACTTGTTTCCACAAACAGTACAAAACCATGGTTGCAGTTAAATATACAAGAAACACTAAACCATCTCCATCCAACCAGGCAAAGCCCACGGAGGTATTAATTTATTTTTCAAAAGCGACCTGGCCACAAATAGCCCTGCAAAGTGCATTTATCATTTGGACATCATACGCACGAATGCTATCGATTAACATTCGGTAAGGGGATCGATTCCAAGAATACCATGAGCTTCACACGAGAGGCAAGTGTTTGGGAATTACACCCAATTCTCATCACGCTTATCACTATTACCGTTGTGTTTAAAACCTGGACAGTTCACACTTTATATATAGACTAGCTTCACTACCCGGCTTCGCCCGGGACTTGGATTCACCACGCCGGGCCGCCTTTATCTCCCCAGTGGCGATGTTCACACACCACACCAGTTACTCGTTTGAGGCTGAGTCGACCTAGGGGAGGCCCAGGAGCGGTTAAAATAATTGTCACCGGTGGTGGCCGTGAGCGGGAATCGAACTCGGGTCGCCGGGTGCACAGCGCGCTCACCACGACACGACAATGCGTTACGCTTCCACATGCGCGGGTGCATGACAGATGTGACGCCACAGCTCATTCGCCGTGCACAAAAATATGCATTATTGAGCACCCCCCCCCAAAATACAAAAGTGTATTTTTAGAATTTTTGGCACGGTGTACTGTCTGGAAAGTACCCACATGGCAAATTTCAAGTTTGTTGCACGTCGGGAAGTACGCTAAACATTTTGAACAGACACATAATCACACATTTCCCTTTTATATTCAGTATATAGATTGATTTGATTTCAGCCTGGCCACCATCCAGTGCAAATTTTGGTTGAGCCTGGTTCGTACTGGGCCAGGTGACCACCACCAGAGCTGCCACGTGCTGTCGGCACGGGTCTGCGAGGTGTGGCCATTAGATGGTCGGACCGAGTGTCACCCGCCCTCGTATACTAAACTAAAAACTTTTATTTCACCAGGTATGGCTTATTGAACTATATAGCTCTTTTTTTCAGAGGCGACCTGGTTATCATAAATGATCACTCAAAGAAGTGGTTTATCGTGTGATGTGTTATAGTAGCAGCCAAACACTCAGTGAGAAAAATATATATATAGCGTAACCAAAACAAGGGGGTATAGGTGGTGGGGGTAACGTGATTGTACAAAATATCATGCGTGAGTGTTTCCCAATAAAAACTCATTAAGGCCCAACAACAACAAAATGGGCTGAACATGATGGGCACACACAAATCGGGAGAGCACGCGCGTGCACGTTTCACTCGATTCTGTGTCCTAAGAAGGTGTTCCGATGAACCGACAGACAGCAGCAGCAGCGGCAGCAGCAGCTGCGTGTGTGCCCTGCGGTTTGTTTGTGTGTGTGTAGCCGTCACGACAGGGCACAGAGGACAATGTTTACTTTGATGGTGATCGGCCACAAAATGTTATAAAAAAAAAATTCGGTTTACTGACCCCCCCCCCCCCCGCTTGCCCCGTCCCTCCCACCTCCTCTTGTGCAAAATAAAGAAATAATGCATTTTGGGGTTTTAAACAAACAACAAGTGGAGAGATTTCGAACTCCCCCCCCCACATCACCGTTTCACGGATTTTTTTTTAAAATGTCGGCCAGCGTTCTGTTGCTGCTGCTGCTTTGCCTCCTTCATCCCGGTCTGGGCAGGACCTCTTCCTCCTCCTCCTCCACCTCATCGTCGTCGTCCTCCCCCCCGAGTAAGTGCCCCCGAGGCGACCATCACCTCTTCGCTCGGGGCTTTTCACGTTCGTTGCCGTGTCGGCTGTGACGCGGGTCACGACCCCCTTTTGTGTGAAACTTTGCGATGGGAAAATTGTCACGAGAGTGGGGAGGGCCGGATTGAGTTTAATAGGGGGGGGGGGGGTAGTAGCTGGTGTGGTGATGGGGGGGGTAGCTGGTGTGGTGATGGAGGGGGGGGGGTAGTAGCTGGTGTGGTGATGGGGGGGGGTAGTAGCTGGTGTGGTGATGGGGGGGGTAGTAGCTGGTGTAGTGATGGGGGGGTAGTAGCTGGTGTGGTGATGGGGGGGGGTAGTAGCTGGTGTGGTGATGGGGGGGGGGGTAGTAGCTGGTGTGGTGATGGAGGGGGGGGTAGTAGCTGGTGTAGTGATGGGGGGGGGGGGGGTAGTAGCTGGTGTGGTGATGGGTGGGGGGGTAGTAGCTGGTGTGGTGATGGGGGGGTAGCTGGTGTGGTGATGGGGGGGGGGGTAGTAGCTGGTGTGGTGATGGGGGGGGGGGGTAGTAGCTGGTGTGGTGATGGGGGGGGGTAGTAGCTGGTGTAGTGATGGGGGGGGGGTAGTAGCTGGTGTGGTGATGGGGGGGGGGGTAGTAGCTGGTGTGGTGATGGGGGGGGGGGTAGTAGCTGGTGTGGTGATGGGGGGGGGTAGTAGCTGGTGTGGTGATGGGGGGGGGGGTAGTAGCTGGTGTGGTGATGGGGGGGGGGGTAGTAGCTGGTGTGGTGATGGGGGGGTAGCTGGTGTGGTGATGGGGGGGGGGGGTAGTAGCTGGTGTGGTGATGGGGGGGGGGTAGTAGCTGGTATAGTAATGGGGGGGGGGTAGTAGCTGGTGTAGTGATGGGGGGGGGGGGTAGTAGCTGGTGTGGTGATGGGGGGGAGCTGGTATAGTAATGGGGGGGGGGTCGTAGCTGGTGTAGTGATGGGGGGGGGGGTAGTAGCTGGTATAGTAATGGGGGGGGGTAGTAGCTGGTATAGTAATGGGGGGGGGGTCGTAGCTGGTGTAGTGATGGGGGGGGGTCGTAGCTGGTGTAGTGATGGGGGGACGGGGTAGTAGCTGGTGTAGTGATGGGGGGGGTAGCTGGTATCGTGCTTAAAATGTCGTGGATTTACTCTCCAACACACCGGATGTGCTGTCCTAGTGACGAATTGGCACGTTCTGTTTACGTGACAACCCTTACGAGTTGGCTGTGTCGGGTGGTGGCGGGTTTTAACGACACATTTATATATTTACGCGATCTCACCCAAAATTAACCAATATTACGGATGGAATTGGTCGCGACAGTCTGCTACGTGTCCATTCATGCTGCCCGCCTTCACCACCCCACACAAACCTGCGTGGTCAAATCATCATCAACAACCAGCCATAACACAAAATAATAATTGGCATTGTTGTGGATAATATCACTAACAAATTAAGTTGACAATTTCTCCTAAATATATCTGTCCATCTACAGGAAGTACTTACAGTATTTGCCCTAATAGTCCCGTTATTTCTATTGAGGGGGGGTGGGGGTCTTGACTTTACCTTTGCACGTGTGGAATCGGGTTGTATTGCTGATACATACATTACATGTCATCCGAAAACAATGTTGAGTTTCAGATCGATCCGAAATCATGACTTTGCGGAACAACTTCCATGCATCTTCTTCTTGGTTCTTTCGGTAAAGTCACGTAGAAGGGAAGTAATAAAATAATAAAAATAAAACATAACAAAATAATTCTCACGACGTTTCGGCCACAACGCAAGCAGCCATCTTCAGGTGGAAAACAGGTCTGTCGAGAAGGCAGAGTCTACGTGATTTTACCGAAAGAACCAAGAAGATGAATCCCTGCAGTCACGAAAGCTTTAAATCCAAATTCCATGCGTCTCTTCACTTTCCTCCAATAGAGGCATCACGTGTCTTGGTGCGACATCACTTTTGCCAACACGAAGAAGACACGTTTCAATTAGTACACGGTCTGTAAATCCGACACGAGATCCGAAATGATCATTTTTAAAAACCAGAATTCATATTGTTCTTTTTTTAAAATCCGAAACCCATCGCTTATGCGCACTTGTACAGCCAACGGCTCATTTATATAGGAAGGTTTTGATGTAAAATGTCTCTGTTTAGACTGTCTGTACCCATGGCTTAGGACTTTGCCCTATGGCAGCCCTGAGAAAACTAAGCAATTATCTGCCGACTGTCAACAGATTAGGGCTGGACTCAACGTTTGCTTTTTCTGACTGCAACAAATAACTGGAAATAGTAAAGTCGATGATGATGCATGGCATGTTCAGATTCAGCAGTTTACTCGTAAATAATGGCGAGGCATTTCCCAAACAGTTTCGTTATGGAAAATAGTCATCGTTGACCACCGCGCTCACTACTGCGTTGTGCTGTCCAGCTGCTTGTTTTCGGGTTGTATCACGATGTGTGGTCAGGGCACGATGTCCGACGTTTCGTTCCACGTTCTTCGGGACCTTGAAGAAGGTAAAAACTTAAATTTCGATTTAAAGCTTTCGTGACTGCAGGGATTCATCTTCTTGGTTCTTTCGGTAAACAACGCAAGCAGCCGTCCTCAGGTGAAGACCAGGTCTGTCGGGGTCTTCACCTGAGGACGGCTGCTTGCGTTGTGGCCGAAACGTCGTGAGAATTATTTTATTATGTTTTATTTTTATTATTTTATTACTTCCCTTCTACGTGACTTTACCGAAAGAACCAAGAAGAAGGTAAAAACTTTCCAAAACACCACAATCGGAGCGATACTCCACAGCCACGAAAACCTTCCTATTAGTCACGGTGACATTTATTTTCATGCTTCGGTTAGTTCAGTTTCTTTTGATACGTTACAAGGATGATCCCGCTCAGCCAGTTGCCCGGCTATTTCGCAAGGCAGATCCATGGCGGTGTGTGAACACAGCAGCAGCAACAACAACAAACAAAGGACAACAAACATCGACACTGCAGGAAAGGAGTTACAGTTTTTTTTTCATCTTCTTGGTTCTTTCGGTAAAGTCACGTAGAAGGGAAATAATAAAATAATAAAAATAAAACAGAAAAAAAGTGTTTTATTATATTATTTTATAATGTTTTATTTTATTTTTTATTTCCCTTCTACGTGACTTTACCGAAAGAACCAAGAAGATGAATCTCTGCAGTCACGAAAGCTTTAAATCGAAGTTTTTTTTCAGTTTCATTTATTAGGTATAGCCCTGTGAACCATTCGGCTCTTGAATCGGGTGCAACCGCAACAAACAAAAAACAAAAACATCTCAAAGTGACTATGCACAAACAGAAAAATCCAGGGAAAAACTGCAAAGTCTTCCAGAAAAAAAAGCACCGTACACCAACGCTGTGTGTAAAAATCCCAGTGGGATGCAAGCCAAACAACAACAACAACAACCACAAGACAACTTAGATTAAAGCCATCATTCTAGCTCCGTACTACAACAAACAAACATGGCCAAACCAAAAAACTTTTCGCGGAGATATTGCGCCATTGACAAGCGAGGTGTCGCCCCCCCCCCCCCCCCCGTTCGCTTCTCCCCAGAGATCGCAACCGGGTACCCGATACCCGTACCCTACCCGATACCCGGCTACCCGTACCCGGCCAGGTACGGGTAGCCGTTTGCGACCCTGGTGCGGCCGGGTACGGGTAGGCCGTGAGTCACTGGTGAGTAGCAGTTTGTCACTCATTTCGGGTAGGGCACGGGTACGGGTAGGGAACGCCTACCCGGGTACGGGTAGCCGTGAGTCACTGGTGAGTAGCCGTTTGTCACTCATTTTGGGTAGGGTACGGGTAGGGAACGGCTACCCGTACCTGGCCGGGTACGGGTACCCATTTGCGACCCTGGTGCTGCCGGGTACGGGTAAGGAATCAAAACCCGTTTGCGACCTCTGCTTCTCCCCCCCCCCCCCCCGTCAGCACTGACGCCGCAGAGAGCCAGCGAGTTCCTGCTGAGGGTGCGCAGAGCCAACCTCATGTTCGAGGAGCTCAAGAAGGGCAATCTGGAGCGCGAGTGCGTGGAGGAGGTGTGCAGCAAGGAGGAGGCACGAGAGGTGTTTGAGAACGAGTCGGATACGGTGAGTTCCGCAGCCTGGAGGAGCGGAAGGAAAAACGCTAAACACGTGTCGATGTCAATTTAACACGTAGGCTTTCGCGAACAATATTATTCATAATCAAGGTTTTTGGGTCAGATCGCGTTATTTTATATAAATGTGTCGTAACCCTCCACCACCCGACACGGCCAAACAGTAAAAAATGTGTCACGTTTTTCAAAGGACAAAATAATTTAAAAATGCTGTTGATTCTCTCTTCAACACACCAGTGGGCTAAAGAAGTGAATTATTTTGTCCTTTGAAAAACGTGACACATTTTTTACTGTTTGGCCGTGTCGGGTGGTGGAGGGTTACGACACATTGATAAATATCGCGATCTGACCCAAAAAAACCTATATTACGTGTCTATGTGTTCGAGCGTGGGTCATGCAATGATATTTTGAATACATGTCTATGTGTTCGAGCATTGATCAAAGTGATTTTTGTTTAAATCGGTAAAGTCGTTCCCGGCACGTGAATTCTGGATCTCAGGAGACGATTTGTGGATCGACAAAGCCCGTGATAGCCGCGCCCATTGTTGCTTTTGGGCTTACCTGCGCATTAACATAATGTATCATTCATTCGCCATATTCTATGCTTCTTTCGGTAAAGTCACGTAAATAGGAAAAATAATCATAAAATATCGTTCATTCTGTCGTGTCGTCATTGTCTGCTGATTCAGCGGCAGCGTGCGCTGGGCGAAATCCCCGAAAGCGCCGTCCAATTTTCATTTCCAAAAAGAAACGCAGCCCTGTAGACGCCCTTGTTTTGGTGCCATTTTTCTTCATTTGTTAAATTCATTTTAGATTTTTCTTGGTAGTCGTAGGAGGGTTTTCATTTGCTTTGTAGTGGCTTTACATGGGATAGGGTCCTTACATATATATAATTAATGTACAGCGTTATGGGATGCTATAAGCGTGAATGACGCTGTACAAAATGACAGTATTATCCAACAAAGAAAGTTACGGACCAAGCATGGGACATGAGTCCATTTCATATTTCTCAACCTGCCAATCCCTCGTGTGTATGTTGCACACAAAGATATTCAACGCTTCATATTGTGTTCGTTCGTGCCTGGTGGATTGTTTTGTTGCGTTTGGCCATGCCCACCAGAACCTCGTTTCAATGTTTGTGAAAAAGCATTCCCAAATCCTTGCAAGACTCGCTCAGATATATTTGTGCCGTCCTGAAATTGCTTAACTCGAGCCACTCCTGGCTCCAGGGCCTCCACTTACACGTGGGTTGCCCACAAGAGTCTCCCTGATCGGGCCTTTTGGCATATTTCACAAAACTGGCCAGACGTGTCTTGGGAGCAGGTGGGAGCACCCACACTTTACCCCACCACACGTGACCCTGCCGATCGCCGAAGCTGCGTTGTGGCCAATTATACTGCTGGGTGGACAGGGGAAGAGAGATTTCAGAAAGATAAAATTAAACATTGCTCGTCGGTGCAATTGCTGCCCTGGGAGATGTAGAGAGCTGGAATGTGAGATGATTATTGTGACGCGTTTTGCACCTTGCAGGACTATTTCTACCCAAGATATTTAGGTAAGTAACGGTGGCACAACAACAAAAAAACACACATCATTCACGTGCACTCAAATGTGTAATATTGTAAATGCGTGTGTGCTGTTGAATACAACAAATGAATATCCATGAGAGGTTGGGTTATTCACAGTTATTCAACATAGCTGATGTGCATGCCTAATGCGTTCGTAATGCCATGGGTAGGAGGTCTCGCTAAATCCGACGTGATAACGTCTACATTTTCACGCGACGCAGGAAACAGCGTTGTAGTCCGGGTTGCTCCGGTTAAGTACGGGCCAGAATAATAAATGGGAGTTGTATGTGGCTCAGCAACACAAGAGCAACTTTTGTAAAAATTAGACGGAACTGCATTTGGTTGCACACGCGACGCACGCTCTCATTGGCTGGATGGGGGTTCCAGCACGGTCGTCATGGCAATGCGTTTCAACGTGTCTGAATGTTTGTACTTTTGTGGTTGATGGCTAAAGATGTTGTTTCACGAGGTGTCTTGATTTGCTGTGTCTCTATCTAAAATGCCTTGATAGGGTTTATTTTAATGTGCAGGACGAACGGCCTTTCTTTGCCTATGTCATGACGACTTGACACACTGCTCTTGATATGGCACTTTATTGAAGACACCTTCACTTGACACCAGGCGGAGACCCCCACCGCAACAGCTCCGAGTCTCCCGCGCATCTCCCCCTTATAAACCAACACGAGGCCACGCACCCCCTTCTCGATCATTCTCGCTGACTCTGGACGCTCGCCCCACCGGCAGACTCCACCGTCCTCTTCCGTCAACTGACCATGCTCCCTTCTGAACATTCCCGTAGCCACCAGTCCCTTCGCACTCACAGCTGACTCCCCTGTCATTACCTCCCGTAGCCACCAGTCCCTTCGCACTCACAGCTGACTCCCCTGTCATTACCTCCCGTAGCCACCAGTCCCTTCACACTCACAGCTGATACCCCTGTCATTACCTCCCGTGGCCACCAGTCCCTTCTCACTCACAGCTGACTCCCCTGTCATTACCTCCCGTGGCCACTAGTGCATTCGCACTGTAGGCTGACTCCCCTGTCATTACTTGCCGTGGCCACTAGTCCATTCACAGCGCATGTAGGCTCTACTTTCATTACACCTAGATAAGCTTATTCAGTGTGGGCACTACGATGGGAAGATGTTAACGCCCTCGCCTGGTATGCAGGAGGTCGTGGGTTCAAACCCAACCCCGACCCCGACGCCTGCTGTATATTTGGAGTTTACGTGTCTCTCTCTCATCATCATGGTGGCTATGAGATGTTAACTACCTCGCCTGGTATGCAGGAGTTAGCATGTTCTCCCCGTGGTCGCATGGATCTCTCTCCGGTTTTCCCCTCCACATTTTAGAAACATGCATTTAGGGTATTTGGCTGCTATAAATTTCCACGTGATGACTATTAGCCACTTCATTGCGCTATCATTTGTGGTAGCCAGGTCGCTTCTGAAAAGAGCCGTATAGCTCAGCGGGCCTTACCTGGCAAATGTAAAAAATTTTTACAGTGTCTTTTTTTAGTAGAATGCGTAAACGTTGCGACTGTTCCTGTAGCACTGCTCGTTGTGTTTTTTTGTGCGTAGCTTGCCAGTCGCAGGAGACGAAGCCAAGAGCCCCGACTGAGGTTGACAACATCGTACGATCCTGCATCAATGGTGCGTTACATTCAAATTCACAATAGAGGTTTTTTTGGGGGGTTAGATTGCGTAAATATAGAAATGTGTCGCTAAACCCGCCACCACCCGACACAACCAACTAGTAAGGGTTGTCACGTAAACAGAAAATGCCAATTCGTCACTAGTACAGCACACCAGTGTGTTAAGAGAGCCAAGCCACAACATTTACAATCTGAGTACGACGTTTCGCCAGTAATTACAACCAGCTTCATCAGTCGACAGCCAGATTTGTGGAGAAGCCCTCCTGTTTAACGACACATTTCTATATTTACGCGATCTAACCCCCAAAAAAAAGCTCTATTATGGATGATATTGGTCGCGAAAGCCTACGTGTTAAACTACATTCAAATTCATCTTCTTGGTTCTTTCGGTAAAGTCACGTACAAGGGAAATAATAAAATAATAAAATTTAAACATAATAAAATAATTCTCACGACGTTTCGGCCACAACGCAAGCAGCTCATTCAGACGCTGTCTTTCCGACAGCGTCTGAATGAGCCTACGCCAGAGGTCGCAAATGGGTTTTGATTCCTTACCCGTACCCGTACCCGGCCGTACCAGGGTCGCAAACGGGTACCCATACCCGGCCGTACCCTACCCGTACCCGGCCGGGTACGGGTAGGGTACGGGTATCGGGTATCTGATTGCGACCTCTGGGATGAAGCCATGTTGCAGGCGCGGGTGGGTTGATTCTAGGAACTTGAATTGTGAGAAGAGACAAGACGTTGGGAAATGAGTGACAAACAGTTACTCACCAGTGACTCACGGCCTACCCGTACCCAGCCGCACCAGGGTCGCAAATGGGTACCCGTACCCGGCCGGGTACGGGTAGCCGGGTATCAGGTACCCGGTTGCGACTTCTGGCCTACGCCAGACGGAGGCTATTTTGGCCTACTCTTCCACGCCGACTCGGCGGAAGTACCCACGGTCTACTCCACCACACGTGACCAGTGAGTCGACTCAGGGTGGTTTTGCTCCCACCGTCTCGTCGTGCTGGAATTAAGAAGCTTGACCCGCCGATTTTTTTGAGTTGACATCGAGTCCGGCGCCCCGGACCGCTCTCCACCGTCTTGCGTTCGTGTGCGGCGGCAGAGATCCTGGACCAGTGCGTGCCGCTGCCGTGCGACGTCACGGGCAGTGCGGAGTGCGTCAGTCTGCAGGCCGATTACCACTGCGTCTGCAAGGACGGCTGGAAGGGGAAGAACTGCACCCAGGGTGAGAAACCCCCCCCCCCCCACCACCACCAGCACCACCTCTCACTTCGTCAAAGAGTCTTCCAGCCACACAAAGACAACGTTTCCCCCGTGCAGCATTTCTAACGGAGTAATTAAATTAAACTATAATTGAAGCTATTTTGTTTATTTTACCAGGTAAGGCCCCTCTGAGCTGTACAGCTCTTTTTGAGAAGGGTCCTGGCCACAAATGATAACGAAGTGGCTTATCACGTGGACGTTTAGAGCGGCCAAATACTCTGAACGCGTGGTGATGTTGATTCTAAATGTGGAGGGGAAAATTGGAGGACCCGTAGACCAATACACGCGACCACGGGAAAAACACGCAAACTCCAAATAAACGGGCGTCAGGGTCGGGATGGAACCCACGACCTCCTGCATACCAGGTGAGGTAGTTAACATCTCCTAGCCACCGCATTTGTTTCCAAAACATTGATGTTTACACACCGCACCGAGCGCTCGCTTGAGGCCGAGTCGACTTAGGGGAGGCCCAGATCCGGTTGAGATATTCGTCACCGATGTTGGCTGCGAGCGGGAATTGAACTCGGCTCGCCGCAGAAACATTTTAGTTGGTTAAAACAGTCGCTCGGCACAGGGCGCAACGGCCCAGAACGGTCAGCAACAAGCAGCGCCATCAGAGGTGCAGTAATCGACGAGATTGAACATGGATGGAGGGAGGGAAGGAGGGGAGGGGAGGGAGGGAGCGAGGGAGGGGAGGGAGGGGAGGGAGGAGGGAGGGGAGGGAGGGAGCGCGGGAGCGAGGGAGGGAGCGAGGGACGGAAGGAGGGGAGGGAGGGAGCGAGGGAGGGGAGCGAGCGAGGGAGGGAGGCGAGGGAGGGAGCTCCAGAACGTACACAATAAACAGCTCACTAAATCCCTTCTCTCCGTTGAGTGATCGCCTTGCGTCGTGACGGAGCGCCCGTGCGGGCGCCTTGCTCTCCCCGCAGACGTGGACGAGTGCTCGGACCGGCAGAACGGAGGCTGCAGCCACAAGTGCATCAACGTGGCGGGCTCGTACGCGTGCCAGTGCGAGCAGGGGTACACGATGGCCATGGACCAGCACACCTGCGAAGGTCTGACCACAGCCTCCACCGGTTGCAAGTTTTCGAAAAATCCCGCCCGCATCTTCCCCGCGCACGGCAGCGTATACCGGGGTAGAGCGCTTAGTGGATCAGGAGGCCACGGTGGCTAGGAGATGTTAACTACCTCGCCAGGTATGCAGGAGGTCTTGGGTTCGAGCTCGACCCTGATGCCTGCTGTATATTTGGAGTTTGCGTGCCTCTGTCTCTCATCATCATCAAGGTGGCTAAGAGATGTTAACTACATAGCCTGGTATGCAGGAGGTCGTGGGTTCGATCTTGACCCTGAAGCCCGCTGTATATTTGGAGTTCGCGTGTCTATCTCCCCGTGGCCGCGTGGTTTGGGAGTATATGGCTGAAATACATTCCCATGTGACGATAAGCCACTTCGTTGAGCTGTCATTTGTGGCCAAGTGGCTTCTGAAAAAGAGCCGCATAGCTCGGTGGACCTTACCCGGTAAAATAAAAAGTTTAGTTCAGTTTGGCGGACTAAAGGCGTGGGCGCTGCCCCGGTACAGGCGGCTGTAGTCTGGGTTTGAGCTTTGTTGGCTCCGTGAGCCACCAGAACCGCCCTCCGCTAATCGTCAAGCAGAGGTCGCAACCGGGTACCCGATACCCGTACCCTACCCGATACCCGGCTACCCGGCCAGGTACGGGTACCTGTTTACGACCCTCGTGCGGCCGGGTACGGGTACGGGTAGGCCGTGAGTCACTGGTGAGTAACCGTTTGTCACTCATTTCGGGTAGGGTACGGGTACGGGTAGGGAACGGGTACCCATACCCGGCCAGGTACGGGTACCCATTTGCGACCCTGGTGCGGCCGGGTACGGGTACGGGTAAGGAATCAAAACCCGTTTGCGACCTCTGTCGTCAAGCCGATCGCGATGACGAGACGGCGTGCTCCCTTCCGCTGCTCTAGACGTGGACGAGTGCGCGCAATCCCTCGGCGTGTGTGGCGAGCCGGCGCGCTGCGAGAACACGCACGGCTCCTTCACCTGCAGCTGCCTGCGAGGGTTCGCCTTCGACAAGGCCACACGCTCATGCCAAGGTGACGTTTGTCCCGGCGCGCGGCCAAACGCCGCCGGGCGTTGGGACGGGGTCGCCGAGATAAAAGGATTTAACCAGGGCGGTGGTGGATACGCCGTTGCACGCGGCCCTCCTGTAAACCAGCGCTGCGCCCGCAGCAGCGCTGGTTGGTGATCGTGTCCCTGCTAACGCTGCTGCTGCTGATCATCGTGTCCCTGCTAACGCTGCTGCTGCTAGCGATCGTGTTCATGCTGATGCTGCTGCTACTACTGATGATCGTGTTCATGCTGATGCTGCTGCTGCTACTGGCGATCGTGTTCATGCTGCTGCTACTGGCGATCGTGTTCATGCTGATGCTGCTGCTGCTACTGATGATCGTGTCCATGCTGATGCTGCTACTATTGGCGATCGTGTCCACGCTGCTGCTGCTACTATTGGCGATCGTGTCCCTGCTAACACTGCTGCTGCTACTGGCGATCGTGTCCCTGCTGACGCTGCTGCTGCTACTGATGATCGTGTCCACGCTGATGCTACTACTGCTACTGGCGATCGTGTTCATGCTGCTGCTACTGGCGATCGTGTTCATGCTGATGCTGCTGCTGCTACTGATGATCGTGTCCATGCTGATGCTGCTACTGCTACTGATGATCGTGTTCATGCTGATGCTGCTGCTGCTACTGATGATTGTGTCCATGCTGATGCTGCTGCTGCTACTGATGATCGTGTCCATGTTGATGCTGCTACTGCTACTGATGATTGTGTCCATGCTGATGCTGCTGCTACTGGCGATCGTGTTCATGCTGCTGCTGCTACTGATGATCGTGTTCATGCTGCTGCTGCTGCTGCTACTGGCGATCGTGTCCACGCTGCTGCTACTACTGGCGATCGTGTCCACGCTGATGCTGCTGCCGCTACTGGCGATCGTGTCCACGCTGACGCTGCTGCTGCTACTGGCGATCGTGTTCATGATGCTGCTGCTGCTGATGATCGTGTTCATGCTGATGCTGCTGCTGCTACTGGCGATCGTGTTCATGCTTGCGCTGCTGCTACTACGGGCGATCGTGTCGATGCTGACGTTGCTGCTGCTGCTGCGTCAATGTTGACGCCGGGTGTGTGGCCTCTGCCCGCTGCCTGTGGTCGCGTGAGACGTGGACGAGTGCGAGCAGTTTGCGCCGTGCGAGGATGCCTGCGTCAACACGGCAGGCGCCTTCCGCTGCTACTGCGAGGGCCGGGCGGGATTCAGGCTCGGGCCCAACCTCCGCAGCTGCGTGGTGAGAGGGCCCGTGATCACGTCTCGTGGAGGCGGGCGATCGATTAATTGATCGATCAAAGTCGGTCTTGATTTCCTGCGCGCCGACGTCGCCCTCGATAACGTGGCGCACGGTACGGCGGAACGGGAGCATTAGGCGGTGGGAGGGGGGGCAGTGGGGGGTGGTGGCACGGAGGAAACGGGAGTGGAAAAAAGAAGAAACGCGTCGCGACCTCAGCGGCTAACGTCGACCGAGCGGAGTGAATCGCGAACGGGCGCGTGAGAAAAGTTGGTGGCAAGTGAAAAACGGAATAGACGGCGAGCGAAGGAGCAGGTCCTTCCCCGCCGTGAACGTACCCGTGTCACGTTGCCGTGCCCGCCACGCGGTGGACCCACCCCACCGAACCTGTTTGTGCCGATCGACGGCAAGTCAAAGGGCGTCGAGAGGGGTCCGCTCGCAATCGACGCCGCGACGCGTTTTTGGCCCCAGCCGCTGACCTGTCGGCGTGCGCGTGACGCAAATTATTGGGATTGAAAACGTTCGCAAGGACAGAGATGGGGGTGAGCGCCCCCCTCACCTTGAAACCCCGAACATTTCTGTTTTGTGGATAATTGGCGGAAAAAAAAAATTCGATATTTATTTACATATATAAAACAAATATACGAATAAAATGTTCACATATTCTCTGGCATATATATACATTTTTATATGAAATCTATAATACTGATCTTTTTTTTGGGTTAGGTCGCGTAAATATAAAAATGTGTCGTTGAACCCGCCACCACCCGACACAGCCAACTAGTAAGGGTTGTCACGTAAAAAGAACGTGGCCAATTCGTCACTAGTACAGCACTAGTGTGTAGTGTAGTGTATAGTGTATCGTGTAGTGTATAGTTTAGTGTACTAGTACAGCACTAGTGTGTAGTGTACAGTGTAGTGTACTAGTACAGCACACCGGTGTGTTGGAGAGCAAAGCCACAACATTTACAATCCGAGTACGACGTCTCGCCAGTAATTATATATAAAATATATATTTCTAAGATATATTTTACATATTATTACTTTTGCCAGAGAAAATATATTGGGGGGGGGGGGGGGGGCGGGGGTTAATTTTTGTCAGGAATGTATGGCGCCGATTTAAATATCTTGAAATGTCAGGACCAAGGCTCCAGCACCCCTCCCCCCCCCCTGTCGTCCCATCGCCTGGAGAAGTTTCCAGAATCCGCCCGCCTCGTTCACACGAACGATCATTATTCAATCTTGATTTGTAGCTTTCATGACTGCAGGAATCCATACTCTTTGGTTCTTTCGGTAAAGTCACGTAGGTAATGAAATAATAAATACAAATAAAATACGTGATTTTATTAGATTTATTTTGATCTTTTATTTTTACCGGGAATTTTTTTGTCTTTATTTATTTAAATAATTTATTAATTATTTTCTTTACCTACGTGACTCTACCGAAAGAACCAAGAGTGTGGATCCTTGCAGTCACGAAAACTTCAAATCTAGAACAAGCAATGTTCATCAGGTGGAACAACCACAGCAAGAAAATGCTCATTATTTACCTTCTTCTATCGCGCTGAGAACAGTTATTTGAGGGCGCTTTACACACAAACACACCCAGCGAAATGAGCGACGCTGCCTTGAATCCGCGATGCCAACAGACAACGGAGTCGTGCGTGAGGGTCAACACGTGGATGAACCCGACGAATATGCACCTGACCCCGGACACCCACAGCAACCCCGTGTTCTTCCACCGCTACCAAGTCCCGCACCTACAAAGGTCAGATCCCCCATAGCCCCTCCTCCCCCCCCCGATTCACCCCCCCCCACCCCCCACCGTTTCATTATCTTCAACTGTATTCTTGGTTCTTTCGGTAAAGTCACGTAGGTAGAAAATAAAAAGAATAAAATAAAATGACAATAAATGTTTCTCTCCGCCTGGTGAAGACCGCTTGTGTTGCGATCGAAACGTCGATGGTGGGGGGGGGGGGGGATGAGGTGGGGGGAGGAGTTGAGGGGGGGGGGGATGAGGGGGGGGGGATGAGGGGGGGGAGGGGATGAGGTGGGGGAGAGGTGCGGTGGTAAAGGTGCGGCCCCGAAACTGACTCGCTCACCCCGCGTCTGCTGGCGGAAGTGGCCTGCTTCCACTTGAGGTTGCTCTGGAGAGAGAGAGAGCTGCCTTTCAGGGGAGGCCCTTGCCTCAGCAGTAGGCGTCTGCGGGGCTGCACCTCTACGCTGCACTCCCGGGACGGGGGTTGTTTTATTTCTCAGCGCCCACTGAAAGCCGGCTCTGCCCACGCGGCCTCCGTGCCCCCCGCGCACCTCGTGACCCCCCCGTGACCCCCGTGCCCCCCGCACCGCCCCCACCCCCCTACCCCCGTGCCTGCAGCGAGGTGTTCTCCTTCGACCTGCTCACCTACGACCCCGAGGGGCTGGTCCTGTACGTGGAGAGGGGTGCGACGGACGACTGGTTCCTGCTGGCGCTGCGCGAGGGGCAGCTCGAGATGCAGCTGAGCGCCGGCGGCGTCAACGCGGCCGCCAAGAGCGCCTCGACTATCAACCACGGACGCTGGACCTCGGTGAGGATTAGTTCCGCGGTGTCTACTTCCGCGGACTGCGCGCCACTGAGCGGGCGTGCGTAGGACGGGAGGCCGCGTGCACGGACCTCAGAAGTAGTTCTGTGATAGCCAGGTCCTCGGGCCGTTCTGCAACACTCCAGGGGGTGGGGGGTGGAGGGTCGATGCACTACTCTGTGAGAGTTGCGAGTTCGGGATGGGTCCCTCAGCCTCGTGACACGACGCCAATTAGGGCAATTGGAATAATATTCACCGGAAAAGAATCACTGACCGGGATTTTTGTTCTCTCTGTCCTTGAGAGGAGAGAGCAATGCAGCACGGCACGAGCGTAGCAGCAGTGTTGGAGTGAGCAAAACATATAAAAGGATTTGCATTGTGCAGGGCACTTACGTGGCATCTCATGGCACCGTACATCTGACGTCGTCTCAACCAACCCACTGTCCTGCTGCTGTCTAGCCTAGGCTGGTGGGGGGGGGGGCAACCCTAGCGGCAGCTGTCCCTACGCAGAAGAAGGTGTACGCAGCACTGGGCCGCAGACGGGTGTTATTATGCCCACAGGTGGCGCTGTTGCTAAAGGTCAAAAATTTGCACTCACGAGCCGCTCGGTGACATTTAGCCCCCCCCCCCTCCCCCGGCGTCTCAAAGCGACTGACGTCTCAGGCAGAGCGAGCCACTTTCGCGTCGGCTCAGCCTCGACGTCGACCGCCCCCCTGCCCCGTGTCCCCAGCGGTGTCACAGTCAGGGCCTTGTTATCCAATAGGCCACAGTAGGCACCGTGCCTAGGGCCTACGAAAAAACAAATTTCGACTGTGTGTTTTTTAGTTTTTGTATGATAAAACAATCTTCTTGAATACATGTATTTAGATAGTAAGGATGGGCACAGTGTAGATACTAAGAGGCAGAGTCATGTCAATCGGTTTTTTTTTTTCATAAGGTGAGAGAAATTAACACAGGAGATGAATTTTTAGAGATTTTTTTGTCATTGCAAAAATTAGCAAAAACATGTTCAAATCGTATTTTTCGCACAATCTCATTCTCAATTGAGGCTTTGTTGTCCTACGGACGAAGTACGCGTGAAACAATCGAGTGACAGCGACGGTAGTTGTAACATGGGGCAGCAGCAGCAGCAGCAGTACCAGCTGGAGAAAGTGATCACTTGGAGGCCTGCGAAATACAAGTGCCTACGAGAACCTTAATCCGGCCCTGTCAGAGTCAGAATATGTATTTCTAGCGGAGGAACCCGATGAGCTATGAAGCTCTTTACCACAACATGTCCGGTAGAGTGGCCGGGTGGTCTCCCTCGCCCTGCGCCCGGCAGATCTCCGTGGAGAGGCTGAGGGGCCGCGTGGTGACGAGGATCTCTGCGAACGACACCTTCGCCATCGACGTGCGGGACGACGGGCCGGCACAGAGCAGCAGCAAGGAGTTCAAGGTGTACGTGGCGGGGCTCCCGCACGGAGCCCAGCCCTTCGCACCGGTATGACGAGCCCCCCCCCCCACCCGCCCCCTCGGCCTTGAGTCCTGAAGCGAGCTTCAATGAGTCGCCACAATTGCACACACGCAGGGCACGCAAGCTCACACAGAGACACACAGACTCACACAGACTCACACACACAGACACACACAGACTCGCACAGACTCGCACAGACACACACAGACTCACACAGACTCGCACAGACAGACACGCACAGACACACACAGACTCGCACGGAGACACACACAGACTCGCACAGACACACACAGACTCACACAGACTCACACAGACTCACACAGACTCACACAGACTCACACAGACACACACAGACACACACAGACTCAGACACACACAGACTCACACAGACTCGCACAGACTCACACAGACACACACAGACAGACTCACACAGACTCACACAGACTCACACAGACTCACACAGACACGCACAGACACACACAGACTCACACAGACTCACACAGACTCACACAGACTCACACAGACTCACACAGACACACACAGACTCAGACACACACAGACTCACACAGACTCACACAGACTCACACAGACTCACACAGACTCACACAGACACACACAGACTCACACAGACACACAGACACACACAGATACACACAGACTCACACACTCACACAGACACGCACAGACACACACAGACACACACGGACTCACACGGACTCACACGGACTCACACAGACACACACAGACACACACACACAGACTCGCACAGACACGCACAGACACGCACAGACTCGCACAGACACACACAGACTCACACAGACACACACAAAGACAAAGATCCCCCATATAGCCTTAACAGACTGTAGGGGCAAGTGCTGTGAGCGAGCACCTACGAAGGCCGTAACGGTATACTAGGGGGTGAGTGGCCAGCACCACGCCTGAACGCCTTTATCTCCCCAGTGACGATGTTTACACACTGCACCAGGTAGTCATTTGAGGCTGAGTCGACCTAGGGGAGGCCCAGGACTGGTTCAGATACTCGTGTTGGTCGTGAGCGCGAATGGAACTTTGGCCGGCAGGTTTGTAGCAGAGCTCGCGAACCGTTGGACGACTGCCCCCCACACAAACATAATGCGCTCGCACGCACACAAACGCAAAACCCCCGTGTAGCTTTCACAGACTGTTGGGGCAAGTGCTGTTCGCAAGTAGCACTTATGAAGGCCGGTATGGCACACGAGTGGGTGGGTGGCCAACACCACGCCCGGCCGCCTTTGTCTCCCCAGTGGTGATGTTTACACACCGCACCAGGTACTGGTGTTGGCCGTGAGCAAGAATCGAACTCGGGTGTCCGCTTTCTTAGCGAGCGTCGCGCTAACCACTACACTACCACTCCCCACACACTCACGCTTTAACACACACATACACTTTCACACATATACACACTTTCACACACAGATATACACACTTTCACACATATACACACAAACACTCACTCCCAACGATCCTCGTGGAGGATCGCTCCTCTGAACAAAATAGTTCCCCGGTTCATTTCGCAATTGGGAGTTGGCGTTCGAAGTCAATGTTATTGTGAAAAACACTTCACGGACGCCGGTTCGTAAGTCGAGGACCGCCTGGAGTAGCAGCGGCTCACCGCGCGGTATTTAAACACATTCCTGCGGAGGGAGCTGGTAGGAACGTTGTCGGGTTGCTCGGTCAATGGTCAGGGTCAACGGCGGCGTGGTGTATTCCGCAAATATGGCCGACTGTGAGGGCGGGCACAAGCCGGCGTGAGTAGGTTAAACGTTGAGTTTTATAAGGGCACCACGGGGTGACCAGCCCCTCCCCACCCAGCCCCACCCCTCCCACCCCCCACCCAGCCCTACCCTCCCCACCTAGCCCCTCCCCACCCTCCCCACCCAGCCCCTCCCCACCCTACCCAGCCCCTCCCTACCCTTCCCACCCAGCCCCTCTCTACCCTTTCCACCCAGCCCCTCCCCACCCTACCCAGCCCCTCCCCACCCTTCCCACTCAGCCCCTCTCTACCCTCCCCACCCAGCCCCTCTCCACCCAGCCCCACCCCTCCCATTTTTGGATGCAAGACGGACGGACGGACACAATAATCTCCTGTGGGCCGGTGTAACCAGGAGGTTTTTACCAGTGTGATCCAGGATCTCAGCGGCGTCTGCTCAGTGCTCCGACTCTTGTGTGACCCTTCACCGCCCCCCCCCCCGCTCTTCATGGCCCCCCGCGAGCGCTCCGCAGCTGAACACGCGGCTGGACGGCTGCATGCGGCAGTGGGACTGGCTGGGGAGTGAGCGGGCGGGGAACTCGGACGTCCACGTGAGGAGCGACGCGACGCGCCTCTGCTACCAGAGCGTCGAGCGCGGCGCCTATTTTCCCGGCACGGAGCTCGCCAGCTTCCACCGGCAGTACGGTACGGGGGGGCGGGGGGGAGGGGGGGGGCGGGCTGGGGGCTGGGGGGGAAGCGGGGGGGGAGCGGGGGGGGGGGTGTGTTTTTTTTCCCACCACATTTAAAAGCAACATCAAGCGTTTAGAGTATTTGGCTGCTACAAATGGGCGCCGCAGTAGTGAGATGTTAACTACCTCGCCTGGTGTGCAGGAGTTCGTGGGTTAGATCCCAACCCTGACACCTGCTGCTGTATATTTGAAGTTTGCGTGTCTCTCTCCTCGTGGTCCAGTGGATTTTTCTCCGGGTCCTTCGGTTTTTCCCTCCACATTTAAATGTCATTGGCCGAATTGCATTGGCCGTATTTCTTTCGCCCCATGACAATGATGACGATGACGACGATGTCGACGGTGGAGGTGACGATGATCATGACGTCGACGATGATGACGGCTGTGGCGATGACGACGATGACGACGGTGACGGTGACGACGAGTATGATGACGGTGACGCCGATGTCTGCGCGGTTCAGTTCCGTCAGGCAACAGCCCCGGCCGCCTCCCGTGGCTCCTCGACCTCGAGATGTCCTTCAGGCCCGTGGGGAACACGGGCGTCCTCTTCTGCCTCGTCAACTACAACAAGGAGGTCGTCCTCTCCCTCAGCCTCGACGAGATCTTCCGGCGGCCGGGGCTCCCGCTCCAGGTATTCGGCGGCGCAGATCCGAGAAGGCGTCGCCGCGTGCCGGCTCGCCGCCCCGCTCCTCCGACGGCCCCGAGGCCGACAGCTTGGGGAGGGCTTCATCCAGCAGCGGATTGTTCGTGGCCGAGGACAATGACGATGGGGACGCCACGGTGGCTAGAGGATGTTATCTCCCTCGCCTCGAATGGAGGAGGTCGTGGGTTTGATCCCGACCCTGACGACGCCTGCTGCTGTATATTTGGAGTTTGCGTGTCTCTCTCTCTCCCCGTGGTCGCGTGGATTTTTCTCTGGGTCCTCCGGTTTTTCCCTCCACGTTTAGAATCAACAATCACGCGTTTAGAGTGTTTGGCTGCTATAAATTTGCACACGATAAGCCACTTCGTTGAGCTGTTACTTGTGGCCAGGTCGCTTCTGGAAAATAACTATATAGCTCCGTGGGCCTTACTTGGTAAAATGTATATATTTTTATCATTTAGGATGAATAATGAGTATTATTGCGAGTATACAATGTATTTTTGTCAAACATCTTTGTTGCAGAGACTCGTCCTGGGCTTTGAGGACTCGGTTGCCCTCCGCTACCAGGCCAACGAGTCGAGGGTGTTCTGCGACGGGAAGTGGCACTCCCTGCGTCTCCAGATCTCCCGCGAGGAGCTCGCGCTGCAGGTGAGGCCCTTCGAACGCCGGTGCCCCGAGGTGGGGGGTGGGGGGACGTGGGGGGAGGTGGGGGAATATCCGAATGAGTCCTGGGCCCTCCCCTAGGTCGACTCGGCCTGAAGTGAGCACCTTGTGCAGTGCGTGAACATCAGCGGTGCTGGCCACCCAACCCGCCGCGGCCTTCGTATGCACCTCCGATGAGTGCGGGTGGCTACGTGCAGTGCGAAAGAAGTTCCACGTGCAGACGTCGATGCCGCTAGCCAACAGCACTTGTTATGGGCTGTACACGGGAGCCCTTTTGTCCCTTTGATTCTTGCGTAACTGACGACGCTGCCAGCGCAGTGTGACCTTGACCCCTGCGACGGGCCCTGCAGGTGGATGGAGTGAACCTGACGCAAGCGGACAGCGCCATGCCCCTGGTGCAGCTCAGTGCCCACCGAGGGAAGCTGGAGACGTGGCTCAACGAGTCGGTGACCACGTACATTGGGGGCATTCCAGGTGAGGACAGAGCGCCTCGTTGTGCCTGCACACTTTGTTACATCAGTCAAGAAGCATCGCTCGTCACCCGCGTCTCTCCCAACTCCACCGCGTCTCGGCCCACCTCCCTGCATCTTTTACCCCACCTCCCCACGTCTCTCTCCCCACCTCGCCGTGTCTCTCTCCCCACCCTCCCCACGTCTCCCTCCCCACCTCCCCTCGTCTCCCTCCCCACCTCCCCACGTCTCCCTCCCCACGTCTCCCTCCCCACCTCCCCACGTCTCTCTCCCCACCTCGCCGTGTCTCTCTCCCCACCTCCCCTCGTCTCCCTCCCCTCCTCCCCACGTCTCCCTCCCCACGTCTCCCTCCCCACCTCCCCACGTCTCCCTCCCCACGTCTCCCTCCCCTCCTCCCCACGTCTCCCTCCCCACCTCCCCTCGTCTCCCTCCCCACGTCTCCCTCCCCACCTCCCCACGTCTCCCTCCCCACGTCTCCCTCCCCACCTCCCCACGTCTCCCTCCCCACGTCTCCCTCCCCACCTCGCCGTGTCTCTCTCCCCACCCTCCCCACGTCTCCCTCCCCACCTCGCCGTGTCTCTCTCCCCACCCTCCCCACGTCTCCCTCCCCACCTCCCCTCGTCTCCCTCCCCTCCTCCCCTCGTCTCCCTCCCCACCTCTCCGCGTCTCCCTCCCCACCTCTCCACGTCTCCCTCCCCTCCTCCCCTCGTCTCCCTCCCCACGTCCGCGTGTCGTCTCTCCGCCCCGCGTGCGTAGAGACCATTCGGCTGCAGGCCGTGCCGGTGAGCGTGTACTTCCACGGCTGCGTGCGCGATGTGCGCCTCGCCGGAGAGCCGCTGGACATGGACGCGGCGGTGAACAGCCCCATGGGACTGTCGGCGCACTCGTGCCCCACCGTGAACACGGGCGACGACGACGACGACGACGAGCTCGAGTAGTGCCCCCTCCTCCCACTCCTCCCACTCCCACCAGAGGTCGCAAACGGGTTTTGATTCCTTACCCATACCCGGCCGCACCAGGGTCGCAAATGGGTACCCGTACCCTACCCGATACCCGGCTACCCGTACCCGGCCGGGTATCGGGTAGGGTACGGGTAGCCGATTGTGACCTCTGGGATGAAGCCATGTTGCAGGCGCGGATGGGTTGATTCTAGGAACTTGGATTGTGAGAAGAGACAAGACGTTGGAAAATGAGTGACAAACGGTGACTCACCAGTGACTCACGGCCTACCCGTACCCGTACCTGGCCGCACCAGGGTCGCAAACGGATACCCGTACCCAGCCGGGTACGGGTAGCCGGGTATCGGGTAGGGTACGGGTATCGGGTACCCGGTTGCGACCTCTGCCTCCCACTCCTCATCCTCCTCTTCCCGCTCCTCGTCCTCCTCCTCCTCATCCTCTTAATTTCATCATCCTCTTCCTGTCCCTCGCTCCGTTCTCCATCCTTTGCCTTCTCTTTCCCCGCCCGCCCGCCCGCCCGCCCGCTTGCATCGCAGACACACGCCACAGGGAAGCAGTCGTCGAGCGTCGGGGGGGCCAACGGCGAACGGGGCCGACCCAAACCGCGTAACCCGAACCGTCGGCACGGCGCTGTGCCGCGGGTCCGACCGCCGCACGTCGGCGCTGACCGATCAGCCGGTATCCACACGCCCCCCCCCCCCGCGCGCGCGGGGTCTGCCCGTGGCGGCGTAGACCGGCGCGACGCGCTCCCGACCCCTCCACGCGGTGCCGCAGAGCCGCTCGCGGCAGCGCAAGGCCCGCCGTGACGGTACTGCTGCTGCTTCGTGGGTGCGGCGCGTGCTCTGCAAGCAGCGTCAGGTTCGCGAGGGGTGCAAACGTTGCCACGTGGACTCACCGAAAGAAAGTGAATTTGTCGAGTGGATTTTGGAATATTTCGCTAAATTTTGGACGGTGACGCCGACGCGCATCGGCCCCTTTTAACACCTGCCGTTAAGCAGACGGCCCGTGGTAATTCTCATGGTAAATAACACTGGCGGTATTAACCAGGACGCCCTTTGGGGTTTGAACCGCGGGACGTCTGCAACAAGGGGCTGAGGATTTATGACGAGTGAGAATAAGTTTGTACCCTTTCTGACAATAAATCAGCAGTTCCGTTACAATGTTGAAGCACCAGATAGAAACATTTTGCCAGGAATCAAGTTCCTGCGTTAACCGCACACACAGTGCTTGTGGTGAACATGCACACAGACAAACACGTGGCTCTGACGATATATGATGCGTTGTCTTTGAGACTGATGGGCCTAAACCAGAGACAGCAGCCTTCTTCATGGCCTCGTCTCACCACCAGTGTCAGACCAGAGAAGAACGCCAATAGGCGAACAGCACAAGCACAATGCACCATCAGAGCATTGTTGCTTTGTACGTACAGTGCTAAATGGAATCGAGTCTGGTTAATGCAGGAACTGGATTCCTTGCAGAAGGTTTCTATTTGGTGTTTGAACATCTTAACACAACTCCTGTTTTATTGCCAGAAAGGGTACAAACTTATTCTTATTTTTCATACTTTGATACTGCCAAATAAGTGTCCCATGATCAGAGGATTTACATTTTTCGGGCACTTTAACGGTTCGGCGACTCGGGCACCGTGCATCCACGCCTCTGCCATGCCGGTGGACTGCTGCAGGCGATGGCAAGGAGACCCCCAAGTGGCAGCTGTTCCTGTGCGGCACGTGGTGCGTGCACACGTGGTGCACGCACACGTGGTGCACGCACACGTGGTGTACACACACACGTGGTGTACACACACACGTGGTGTGCGCCCACGTGGTGCACGCACACGTGGTGTACGCACGTGGTGTACACACACACGTGGTGTACACACACCTGGTGCACACACGTGGTGTACACACACCTGGTGCACACACGTGGTGTACACACACCTGGTGCACACACGTGGCGTACGCACGTGGTGTACACACACACGTGGTGTACACACACCTGGTGCACACACGTGGTGTACGCACGTGGTGTACACACACACGTGGTGTACACACGTGGTGCACGCACACGTGGTGTACACACGTGGTGCACGCACACTTGGTGCACACACACGTGGTGTACGCACACGTGGTGCACGCACACGTGGTGCACACACACGTGGTGTACACACGTGGTGCACGCACACGTGGTGCACACACACGTGGTGTATACACGTGGTGTACGCACACGTGGTGCACACACACGTGGTGTATACACGTGGTGCACGCACACTTGGTGCACACACACGTGGTGTATACACGTGGTGTACGCACACGTGGTGTACACACGTGGTGCACGCACACTTGGTGCACACACACGTGGTGTATACACGTGGTGTACGCACACGTGGTGTACACACACGTGGTGTACACACGTGGTGTACGCACACGTGGTGTACACACACGTGGTGTACACACGTGGTGTACGCACACGTGGTGCACACACACGTGGTGTACACACACGTGGTGTACACACGTGGTGTACGCACACGTGGTGTACACACGTGGTGCACGCACACTTGGTGTACGCACACGTGGTGTACACACACGTGGTGTACACACACGTGGTGTACACACGTGGTGTACGCACACTTGGTGTACGCACACGTGGTGTACACACGTGGTGTACACACACGTGGTGTACACACGTGGTGCACGCACACTTGGTGTACGCACACGTGGTGTACACACACGTGGTGTACACACACGTGGTGTACACACGTGGTGCACGCACACTTGGTGTACGCACACGTGGTGCACACACACGTGGTGTACACACACGTGGTGTACACACGTGGTGTACGCACACGTGGTGTACACACGTGGTGCACGCACACTTGGTGTACGCACACGTGGTGTACACACACGTGGTGTATACACGTGGTGTACACACACGTGGTGTATACACGTGGTGTACACACACGTGGTGTATACACGTGGTGTACGCACACGTGGTGTACGCACACGTGGTGTACACACACGTGGTGTATACACGTGGTGTACACACACGTGGTGTATACACGTGGTGTACACACACGTGGTGTATACACGTGGTGTACGCACACGTGGTGTACGCACACGTGGTGTACACACACGTGGTGTACACACGTGGTGCACGCACACTTGGTGCACACACACGTGGTGTACACACACGTGGTGTATACACGTGGTGTACACACACACGTGGTGTACACACACACGTGGTGTACACACTTGGTGTACGCACACGTGGTGTATACACGTGGTGTATACACGTGGTGTACACACACACGTGGTGCACACACGTGGTGTACACACACGTGGTGCACACACGTGGTGCACGCACACTTGGTGCACACACACGTGGTGCACACACGTGGTGCACACACACGTGGTGCACACACGTGGTGTACACACACGTGGTGCACACACGTGGTGCACGCACACTTGGTGCACACACACGTGGTGTATACACGTGGTGCACGCACACTTGGTGCACACACACGTGGTGTATACACGTGGTGTACGCACACGTGGTGCACACACACGTGGTGTATACACGTGGTGCACGCACACTTGGTGCACACACACGTGGTGTATACACGTGGTGTACGCACACGTGGTGTACACACGTGGTGCACGCACACTTGGTGCACACACACGTGGTGTATACACGTGGTGTACGCACACGTGGTGTACGCACACTTGGTGCACACACACGTGGTGTACACACACGTGGTGTACACACGTGGTGCACACACACGTGGTGTACACACGTGGTGCACGCACACGTGGTGTACACACGTGGTGCACACACACGTGGTGTACACACGTGGTGCACGCACACGTGGTGTACACACGTGGTGCACGCACACTTGGTGCACACACACGTGGTGTATACACGTGGTGTACGCACACGTGGTGTACACACACGTGGTGCACACACGTGGTGTACACACACGTGGTGTATACACGTGGTGTACACACACGTGGTGCACACACACGTGGTGCACACACGTGGTGCACACACACGTGGTGCACACACGTGGTGCACACACACGTGGTGCACACACACGTGGTGCACACACGTGGTGCACACACACGTGGTGTATACACGTGGTGCACACACGTGGTGCACGCACACTTGGTGCACACACACGTGGTGTATACACGTGGTGTACACACGTGGTGCACGCACACTTGGTGTACACACACGTGGTGTATACACGTGGTGCACACACACGTGGTGTACACACACGGTGGTGTACACACACGTGGTGTATACACGTGGTGCACGCACACGTGGTGTACACACACGTGGTGTATACACGTGGTGCACACACGTGGTGCACACACACGTGGTGTATACACGTGGTGCACACACGTGGTGCACGCACACTTGGTGTACACACACGTGGTGTATACACGTGGTGCACACACACGTGGTGTACACACACGGTGGTGTACACACACGTGGTGTATACACGTGGTGCACGCACACGTGGTGTACACACACGTGGTGTACACACGTGGTGTACACACGGTGGCACCAGGCCTGCAAATGAGCATTAGTCTGCCGGAAGCGGGCCGATGTTGCATCGTGTTTTTTTTGCTCTCCACTTCTTTCAAATTAAATCATTAATGTCGTCGATATGAGGGCTTTGACTCGCGTGTTTATTTTCCAGAGAGGCAAAACAATAATCGCTGCAACACAGGAAAGCTGCGCAGAATGGTCGTGGCTCCGGGACATGAATTTCTGTTTTACCTTTGCCATCACGAAAGACAAACAATGAGAAACGCTGCAGCGAATGACCGACACGGACAAACAAATACAATCTCGTCAAGTGTGTGGGGGGGGGGGGGGTGCCGGCGAGCGTCTTGCAGAGGTCGCAATCGGGTACCCGATACCCGTACCCTACCCGATACCCGGCTACCCGTACCCGGCCGGGTACAGGTACGGGTTCCGTTTGCGACCCTGGTGCGGCCGGGTATGGGTAGGCCGTGAGTCACTGGTGAGTAACCGTTTGTCACTCATTTCGGGTAGGGTACGGGTAACCGTTTGCGACCCTGGTGCAGCCGGGTACGGGTAAGGAATCAAAACCCGTTTGCGACCTCTGGCGTCTTGGCGACCTCGCTGTCACTTCAACTCAAGTCAAAGAACATTTATCTCGCGCCACCCACATACAAGCAGCAGCAGCAGCAGCAGTTTTGACAAACGGATTAATTCGCTACGTTGGCCTCGCCTACGGATCGTTGACGGGTCGAAATGTCGTTCGCGAACACCCCGCTAGGCGTTCAACAAAACCGGCGGTGACGACTGCGCAAAGGAGATTTTAAAAGTCGCACGCAATTTCGGCAAACAAACGTGCATTCTCGCGTGGGATTGATGTAATGCCCTCCATTCAAAAAGAGCAATTTGGCTCAATGGGCCTCATCGGTCTGGTGCTTCCGCCGGTCAACGAACAACACGCGATTGCTCAGCAGATGCGAGACGCCGTGGTGACACCACCGCCCTCTGCTGCTCTCGCCCGAGGCAGCGGTGTTGCAGCCCTCGCGGGCCGATTGGTTCGAGGCTTTTCACCGTCCCCACGTGCAGTGCCGGATTAAGGTAGTGCGGGGCCTGGAGCATATGTTATAAAGGGGCCATAAATAAAAAAATAAAACACGTACAATTTTTACTTGCATAGTGAAGTCATTATATTTTTCATTTGCTATACAGTCGGATAATACGACAAATCGCTAACATTCCTTAAACACCAAGTCGTTCATAAAAGTCGAAGGCGGTATAGTACTATAGTAATAGAGCAAGTGCAGAATCACTGAGCCGGAATTGATAGCTTAAGAGCATTTAGCGCGGGGCCCTTGAAAGTGCGGGGTCCGTAGCTATTACATGTGTAGCTACTACTATCGTACCGTACATAACCAACCGCGCTAACCGGAGTTGCGGAGGCGGGGGAAGGACAACAAACTAAACACAACAACGAGCAACTCTAAAGAAACGAGATTTAAATTTAGATGATTTGAAAGTGCATAGCTCACCAGTGGCTTCCTAATATCGGAAGGAAGAACGTTCCAGACGGCCGCAGGAGCTCGTCCGAAAGCGCCGAGCGACGATGCCGGTGATGATGCCGGTGACCGCCGTCTGTCTTGTTCCGTGGCCAGCCAAGAAGCCGGACTAACACAGCATCGCCAAGTCTCGGCCAACAGGTGGCATCCATTGACCAGCACGCCCTCGGCCGCTTCTGCCAAGCGCACAAGTGACGATCACGTGGGCCGGCTTCACCTGCGCGTCGCTGCTTTGCCATGGCTCGCAACGGCGGCCGTCGTGGCGATTTCGTGGACAATTTGCACCGGTCGGAGCGCGGTTGAAGCAAATGGAGAGAGAAGAAGACTGGGGGGGAGGGGGGGCTGCACAGTCGGGCTTGAGATTTTAAAAAAATTCTTGTTGAGTGAAAGACAGAAATATTTTGCGATTATTTTTTTCGAATAAAAAACTGTTTGAAGGGACGCGACGGTAAAGATCAAATAGGGTATATTTTTTATATAAAAAAATCAAATAGTTACATTTCTATTTAAAGCTTTCGTGACTGCAGGGATTCATCTTCTTGGTTCTTTCGGTAAAGTCACGTAGAAGAGAAATAATAAAATAATATAAATAAAACATAATAAAATAATTCTCACGACGTTTCGGCCACAACGCAAGCAGCCGTCCTCAGGTGAAGAACAGGTCTGTTTTCCCCAGACGCTGTCTTTCCGACAGACCTGTTCTTCACCTGAGGACGGCTGCTTGCGTTGTGGCCGAAACGTCGTGAGAATTGCATTTTATTAAATTTTATTTTTATTATTTTATTATTTCCCTTCTACGTGACTTTACCGAAAGAACCAACAACAACAACAGATGTCTCTGTTTGTTATTTTGGGTTTGCCGACTCTCTCACGCCAGGTGCTCTGCTTTATACAATTTTTAGTTTTAAATATTTTAGTTTAAATTTTTTTTGTTACGTTTGGGGTGATCGACAATTTTTTTGTCGAGGGAGCAGTGGGTTTGGGTAGAGACCACGACGACGACGACGAGGGGGAGAAGGAAGGACCGGGCCAAGATTTCGGGGATGATGAGAGGGTGGTGGTGGTGAGAGAGTGATGATGAGAGTGATGATGATGAAGAGAGTGTGATGGTGGTGATGATGATGAGAGTAATGATGATGATGATGAAGAGAGGGTGATGGTGGTGATGATGATGAGAGTGATGATGATGAGAGTGATGATGAGAGTAATGATGATGAGAGTAATGATGATGATGATGATGAGAGTGATGATGAGAGTGATGATGATGATGAGAGGGTGATGAGAGTGATGATAATGAAGAGAGGGTGATGATGAGAGGGATGATAGTGGTGATGATGATGAGAGGGATGATGATGATGATGATGAAGAGAGGGTGATGGTGATGATGATGAGAGTGATGATGAATAAGAGAGAGTGATGATGGTGATGATGATAATGATGACCTACACAGCTGCGGGCATCACTTTTCCCCAACTCTGCCGAATGAGAGTAATATTCGTAGAGTGACATTAAAATCCGTTTTCTTTAACTATTCAGCGCTGGAGTTCAGTCGCGTTAAGTAAAGGAGCAAAGTCAACATGATGCTTTGTCGTGTGATAGTCAGAGTCAACGTGATGTTTTGTCGTTTGCGGGGTGACCGGCCTGAGAGCCATCAACTCAACGCACTTGAGAACCCGGTTTTAGATCACAGACGCAGTGTCTCAGCATCTCTGACCCGTTACCTTTGAATTGAAGCGTCTCAAACTCTAGCTGCAGAACGTGGATTCCACGCCCCCCCCCCCCTCATCACAATGGATGGAGTTCGACTTCAACCGTATTTGCTTCGCATTACAGATAACGTTTCCATCATGGGATGAGATCCGTGCCAGTTTTGTCATAAAATTCCTTGCATCTTCACCTGCAACCGATTTACGAGGTCATCAGAATCTGTGATCGTTGCTGAGGTTAGATGTAGCGCCCCCCGTGCGATACGATCTCCGCTACCCAACGCTTAACGCACGAGGCGAGTACACGTTGAATCGTCGATTAGTATCGATTGTTGAGCTCACGATGATTCCACCCGTGGACTCGCACGTGCACGGGAGTCAATGCGTGCGTGGCGTGTGTTGGCTTCACGTGATGTGGCTCAGGCAACTGAAGGTCGTTGGTTCGAATCCGTGGCGGTGCATCGGAAGTTATCGCTCCTTCAGACGAATCACCGCCTCGTGGTGGTGGTGGTGATTATGATGATGGACCTACACCCATGACACGCTGCAAATGGGGGCGGGGGAGGGGGGGGGTTTGACCATACTTCACCACATCTGGTCGGTACGGGTATGTGAAGCAGGAGTGGGGGAGGGGAGGCCCAGGCTCAGTCGATGTTAGCCGTGGCCTGGAATCGAACTCGGGAGTTTGGGCTCATAGCGCAGTGCGCTCGCTCGCTGCTGGCCCCTTGCCACCCGTCTCTTGAAGAGCGATTCAGAATACGCACGTAGCTGGGGTGGATATTAACGCGAATATCCCTCATCGCTCATAATCAACGTTTTTGGGTTTAGATCGCGTCATTTATAAATGTGTCGTAACCCTCCACCACCCGACACGGCCAATCAGTAAAAAAGTGTCACGTTGACAAAAGACAAATAGTTCACTGCTTTAGCCCACCGGTGTGTTGAAGCGTGAAACCACAACATTTACAATTTGAGTAGTACGACGTTTCGCTGGTAATTGCATCCAGCATCATCGGGCAATTCGCCAGAATGGTGAGGCTCTGCTGTGTCTCCCGTTCTTATATAGAGCAGCAACAGGGTGACGTACTCATTAACTCATTAACGGAAACAAGTTGGCACCTTGAAGTTATTGTCCGGGTTTTGTTGTTGTTGTTTTTAAATCTATATATATAAAATCGTGAATGTCTGTCTGTCCGTCTGTGTGTGTGTGTGTGGATTTCGGACCATACGCACTTTCATTGGACGGCGGTTGCCCCTGGCAACGGCTAGCGACGCCTTCGCCGCTTTCATTGGACCTGGCAACGGCTATGCGACGCCTTCGCCAAGGGCTGCAGTTTCATTGGACGGCGGTTGCCCCTGCCAACGGCTAGCCACGCCTTCGCCGCTTTCATAGGCTCCGTAAATAATTAAATAATAGCCATTACACAGTATTGTTGGAGCGCTGACGGGGGGTGGGAAGGCACGCCACCCGTACCCTGCCTCTGCCGGGTGGACAATTTAGGCGAGGCCGCAGGCTCTGCACGCTACTAGGCCTCGACACCCACCACGCCACTCTGAGGTAAATTCATCAAAGTTTTTCCTACTCTTCACTCCACCCCCACCACAATGTGTGCAATTAATATTACTTTTAAACCCAACGCGCCAACAATCGATTACTTAAATGTTCACTGTACAAATAGTCATTAAGCTGGGTCAGCGTACTGCCAGTCTATCATGTAGACTGTAGCCTGCTTATTAAACTCGGTGAGCGTACTGCCACTCTATCATGTACACTCTAACCTGCTTATGAAGCTGACTGCGTGTACTGCCAGTCTATAATGTGGACTGTAGCCTGGTTATTATAATCGATTCTTTATATGTTCTTAGTACAAATAGTCATTAAGCTGGTTGAGCGACCCCAGTTCGATTCCAACTCACGCCCACCACCGCTGACGATTATTTGAAACGGACCTGGCCCTCCCCTAGGTCCACTCAGCCTCAAACGCGTAACTGCTGTCGTGTTGCAGGTCTAAGGAGTTCCTTGCGCAGCATTGCTGCTTTATTATTTCAGTCGTTTACTGCCGTACGCACCCTGAAAGTCGTGTGTGTCTGCAGCAAGCGCGTGTATGTGTACCTATGGACGCGCGCGCGTGTGTTGTGTAGGGGGAACGGTAGTGTAGTGCTTAGCGTGCTGCCTGTGTCTGTGTGTGTGTGTCTGTGTGTGTGTGTCTGTGTGTGTGTCTGTGTGTGTGCGTGTGTGGTGTGTGGGGAGCGGTAGTGTAGTGGTTAGCGTGCTGTATGTGTGTGTGTGTGTCTCTGTCTGTGTGTGTCTGCGTGTGTCTGTGTGTGTGTCTGTGTGTGTGTCTGTGCGTGTGTGGTGTGTGAGGAGCGGTGGGTGTAGTGCTTAACGCTACGCTGCGCTAACAACCCGGCGAACCCAGTTCCATTCCCGCTCACGACCACCACCGGTGACGATTATTTGAACCTCCCCTAGGTCGACTCTGCCTCAAACGAGTAACTGCTGTAGCGTATTAACATCGCCACTGGGGAGACAAAGGCGGCCGGCCGTGGTGGATACAAGTCCCGGGCGAAGCCGGGTAGTACAGCTAGTAGTTTTTATAAAATACTTTGATATTAAAATATAAATATTCTTGGAGGCGTACGGGCCGCACAGCTGTGATGCTGCCTGCCCGATGAATTATTATTTATCATCATTATTAGGCCTTTTGATTGTATTCATTTAATATTACGATGACATTCATTTATTATGAATTCGTACCGTTTCAGTTTTTTTGGATAACTTTGTGATTTTTTTTGGTCAAATAATTGTATCATTGTATTATGATTGTGTTTGTAAACGTGTTGTTTTTAAATCTTTACACGCCGTGAAGTGACCTTGAACCTTGTCGCTTGTGCGTCCTGCGCGTTGAACTTCTTTCGCGCCGTACGTAGCCAACCGTGCTCATTGGAGGTGCCGGGGGAAGGACAACAAACTGAACAAAGGTCGGAGGCTTTCGCGGCCAGGATTATATTCATCATAAAGCTTTTTGGGTTTAATTGCGTAAATATAAATGCGTCGTTAACGCACCCACCAACCATGCAAACCCACCACCATAACCCACACGAATTAAACAATAAAACAATTTTAAAGAAATGCATTTTCAATAACGAGTATTCTTCTCTATTATTATTATTATCAAACGCACAAAATAAATTATTCTAAGTGCCCAGGACCATTGTAGGCTACGTGGCTACTCCCAACACCTCCAACACCACCAACAACACCAACAACACCACCACCAACACCACCACCAACACCACCAACACCACCAACACCACCACCACCAACACCACCAACACCACCAACACCACCACCAACACCAACACCACCTCCAACACCACCAACACCACCAACACCACCACCAACACCACCACCAACAACACCACCACCAACACCACCACCAACACCACCAATACCACCACCAACACCGCCAACACCACCACCAACACCACCACCAACACCACCTCCAACACCACCACCAACACCACCACCAACACCACCTCCAACACCACCAACACCACCACCAACACCACCAACACAACCACCAACACCACCAACACCACCTCCAACACCACCAACACCACCACCACCAATACCACCAACACCACCAACACCACCAACACCACCACCAACACCACCACCAACACCACCAACACCACCAACACCACCACCAACACCACCACCAACCAACCAACCACACGGTGTTTTGTTTTGTTTTTCCCCCCGGGGGACAAACCGAGGCTAAAACAGTGGCCGGTTAAATTTAGGCGTGCAATGGAAACCTGCGGACAGCGGAGAAGCGAAACGGGTTGGGAGGCTTCGGGGCTGCCTTCTTCACGCTCGCATCATCCCACAGACATTCTACGTTTCCCAAACACCACCCACCACCACCACCCCCAATCATCCCCACTCCTCCTCCACCAAAAGAAAAAAAAAAACATCTCGCATTTTGTCTCGTCTCTCGCTGGCCCAGTGGCATCGAGAGAGAGAGAGAGGCCGTGGGTGCCTCGATTTGACCGGTGCACGGCTCTAGCCACTGGGGTTTGTCTGCGTGAGCTTCGCGTCTTGCCGCTGGCCAAAATCTCTGGGAGCAGGCGACTCAACAAGGCCCCCTTTGAGTGGTCAAATCGGTGCCGGGGAGTTGCGAATTTTACAGCAAAGGGGAAGCAATTAAGGTGAAGGTGGCTTCAGGTTACTGCCAGGTTAGGGTCGTTGAGTTGTTTTGTTTTATTGTTGTTTCAGTGTTGCCCATCAGAAATATTTGAAAGGCGATTTCATTTTTTTTGTCTTGAAGGCGATCAGGATATTGAATTCGGCATGTCTTCGCAGCAAGTCTCAAGCATATTCCAACCACATCTGCATTCCGTGGAGGCTATTGGTAAATATCTCAGTCCCTCTCTGTGTGTCTCTCTTTCGCTGTCAAATCTGCGGTGCGATTGCCATATAGAGTTGTGGTCGTACGCTAAGTTTGGTCAGTAGTTCAATGGCATCGGGAGTTTGATAAAAAAAAAAATCGGGTTATTGTGTGTCGCGATGTCTTGGAGATGTTAACTACCTCGCCTGGTATACAGGAGGTCGTGGGTTCGATCCCGACCCTGACGCCTGCTGCTGTATATTTGGAGTTTGCGTGTCTCTCTCTCATCATCATCATCACGGTGGCTAGGAAATGTTAACTACCTCGCCTGGTGTACAGGAGGTCGTGGGTTCGATCCCGACACTGACGCCTGCTGCTGTATATTTGGAGTTTGCGTGTCTCTCTCTCCCCGTGGTCGCGTGGACTTTTTTCCGCGTCCTCTGGTTTTTTCCCTCCACGTTTAGAATCAACATCACGCGTTCAGTGTATTTGGGCTACCGCTATAAATTTGCACGTGTTAAGCCACTTGGTTGAGCTATCATTTGCGGCCAGGTCGCTTCTGAAATAGAGCGATAGAGCTATATATATAAAACCATGTTTCATTTATTGCGTTGCAGAACTTCGCGATGATTTTTTTTTCAGTTAAAATGCCACGATCTTGACATATAACAAAATTGGGACGAGAATGCGTTCGCTGTTGCTGTTCGTGACTTTATTATTCCGTATTTTTGTTGCATATAAAGCGTATTGTTGCACAGAACGCGTGGTGTTGCACAGAACGCGTGTTATGCCACAGAACGCGTGTTGTTTCACATAATGCGTGATGTTTCACAGAACGCATGATGTTTCACAGAACGCGCGCTGTTCCACAGAACGCGTGGTGTTTCACAGAACGCGAGTTGTTCCACATGATTCGTGTTGTTCCACATGACGCATTTTGTTCCACATGACGAGTGTGCCCGAGGTGACATGTGACAGCCGATGAGACTTCCGATCTGAGCAGGATGTTTTGCCCCGGTCTGAAATTTAGCGAATGCATCGAATTTTTAAACACAAAATATAAAATGAATGCACATTCACCTGCGATTGAACTTTAAATCCGTGGCTGTCCATCGTGCGCAAGAAGTCACAACGCAAGCAGCTGTCCTCAGGTGAAAAAACAGGTAAGTTTCTTCACCTGAGGACGGCTGCTTACCGAAAGAACCAAGAAGGTGAATCCCTGCAGTCACGAAAGCTTTAAATCGAAATTTAAGCTCAGCATACTTACCACACGCACACGTCACATGTTTAGCAGCTCTAAGCCTGGTCACTGTGTGAACACGTGGCATGGCGCACGGGTGATGCATCACTTATTTGCAGGGTGATGGACACATGTGTGTGAGTGTGTGAGAGGAGAGAGAGAGAGAGGAGAGAGAGAGAGGATGCCTACGAATGAACCGCGCAAGGCATCTGACTCCTCCTCACACTCAGTGTGCTCCACTCAGTGTGCTCCACTCACACTCAGTGACCGGATCATTTCCGTCGGCGCCTCCGTCACTCTGAAAGCCAACGGCTGTCACTTGAACTGCGGCGGCGGCGTCATTCTGCTGCTGCGTAGGAGATCGAGCGTGTCGTGTTTACCACGATAATGAGCCAAGAATGTCTGTGTGTCCCGCGCGTGACGTCACTCCACGTCGACCAGCCCCCCTCATTAATTATAATCATTATAAGGTGACGTTCTACAAATTGACACCCCCCCCTCCATTCATAATAATTAGCGGGTGACGTCACTCCACATGGGGGGGGCGAGGCGCCTCCTCCCCCCTCCTCGGCGTCAACTCACAACCCGCACGACAAAGGCAGAACTCTCACATCACGTGATCTCCGTAGCGCTGTTGAGACATCGAAGTAAAAAGTATAACCCGTAAAAACAAAGTTTTTCACTATAAATCCTTTATATGCGTGGCGGCTAGAGTCCTCTCGTCCTCTGGCTTGAGATGGCTGCCACCTATGGGTCAGATGATTGTCTGCAGTATTAAACAATTGGTAATTAAATATTTAATTTGTTTTCCCTAAACAGTGTAAAATTTTGGAAAAAAAATTTCACGAACATTAATTGTCTCGCACAACGAGTCTGTGTGCAAAATGTCAGCTCGATTGGATCACGGGAAGTGGGTTAAAAAACGACCGAAAGGTTTGCACGGTCGTAAGCAAGCAAGCAAGCGAATTTAATATAAAGGATTAAAAAAGGACGTCGTGATGAACGAGGGACTATAACCTTTACATGAACTACGTCTGTGTCACCGCGCCCTTACAAGTTTCACACGAATTGATGCAATGAATATATCACGTCACGTGCTGCATTTCGTTTGCAAGTTTCACATTTACTGCAATATACCCGTCCTTGGACGGGCAAAAGGCTGTTTTACATATATATATATTTTTTAAACAAAATTGTATTTTTTTTCGATTTAAAGCTTTCGTGACTGCAGGGATTCGTCTCTTGGTTATTTCGGTAAAGTCGCGTAGAAGGGAAATTATAAAATAATAAAAATAAAACATAATAAAATACAATTCTCACGACGTTTCGGCCACAACGCAAGCAGCCGTCCTCAGGTGAAGAACAGGTCTGTTTTCCCCAGACGCTGTCTTTCCGACAGCCCTGTTCTTCACCTGAGGACGGCTGCTTGCATTGTGGCCGAAACGTCGTGAGAATTATTTTATTATGTTTTATTTTTCTTATTTTATGATTTCCCTTCTACGTGACTTTACCGAAAGAACCAACAACAACAGATGTCTTTGTTTATTATTTTGATTTTGCCGACTCTCTCACGCCAGGTGCTCTGCTTTATACAATTTCACGAGTGCGGACGGTGGTTTTGCCAGCCGAATGCAGCCGAGGTTGGGGTAGTTCTCGCATAGCAAAGTAATAATAACGACGATAGGCTGCTGCGGCTGCTGCTGCTGCGGCTACGGTGGCTGCATTCTCCCAGAGAGTTCGCTTTAAATATAGCTACGGGCTGAGTGCATTCGTGAGCGGGGCACATCGCTCGGTTCAATTGCGAGAGGCTCTCCCTGTTTTCGGCCTCGCTTGTTACTGCTTCGTCAAACGTGTGCACTTATTTAGCGGTGGGGTTTTTTTTTTAAGCTCTCTCTCTTTCATCTCCCGTCTACGTTTGCCTGTCTTACTCGATGTTAAAGAGTTTAAGTTTGGCCAGGGAGCCGCGGTGGCTGGGTGATGCTAACTACCTCGCCTGGTATACAGGAGGTCGTGGGTTAGATCCCGACCCTGACGCCTGCTGCTGTATATTTGGAGTTTGCGTGTCTTTCTCTCTCATCATCATCACGGTGGCTGGGAGATGTTAACTACCTCGCCTGGTATACAGGAGGTCGTGGGTTAGATCCCGACCCTGACGCCTGCTGCTGTATATTTGCAGTTTGCGTGTCTTTCTCTCTCATCATCATCACGGTGACTAGGAGATGTTAACTACCTCGCCTGGTATACAGGAGGTCGTGGGTTAGATCCCGACCCTGACGCCCGCTGCTGTATATTTGGAGTTTGCGTGTCTTTCTCTCTCTCATCATCATCACGGTGGCTGGGAGATGTTAACTACCTCGCCTGGTATACAGGAGGTCGTGGGTTAGATCCCGACCCTGACGCCTGCTGCTGTACATTTGAAGTTTTCGTGTTCTATCTCTCTCTCTCTCTCCATGGTCGCGTGGATTTTTCTCCGGGTCCTCCCGTTTTTTTCCCCCTCCACATTTAGAATCAACATCACCACGCGTTCAGAGGATTTGGCTGCTGTAAATCTCCACGTGATAAGCCACTTCGTTGAGCTATCATTTGTGTCCGGATCGCTTCTGTTAAATAGCTTTATAGCTCAGTGGGCCGTACCTGATAAAATAAAATATATATTTTTAAATATTTTAGATCAGTGGTTCTTAAACCGGAGTGAACGCATCACCTGGGAGTGCGAGATGCCCTCTCTGAGAACCAAAAATGGGCGCAGACGACACAAAACGATGAAGAACCACTGCTTTAGATTAACGCGTCAGACGATTTAGAAGGACCGCATGCAACCCCGAGGTCTTTGGATCTTTTGGGCCCCACGCAAATATGTGCATTGCTTAATAGTGTTGGCTGCAAGGCAACGCTGTGTTGTACTGTGATTAACGATGTGCGGACTGTGGTAAAGCCAGAATAGCATCACTGTAATCTACCGCCAGTTGCGTGCCAACATTTGCTTGGTGAAACGATGAGCTGGCTTTCACAAAATCGTACATCGCATTTTTGTTATTTTAAACTAGAACTGAAATAACCAAGGTGGATAACGGTATAGCGTGTTGGTGTTTTTTTGGAAGAGTGCTGGTAAACACAGCGAAGGGAAGGAATTGAATATACAAAGTATACACTCTGCAGTTACACACACCCACACGTTCGCTCACCAAGACAAATACAGGTGTCCTATCATTAGCCTTCAAACACCACGGGGGGAAAGTGCTGTTAGCGAGTGCCTATTAAGGCCAGCGCGACACACACACACACACACGTGCGTTGTAGAGTGTGGCGCAAACCACGGCGCCATGCCTGGATGACTCTGTCTCCCCAGGGTCACCCCCACCACCACCGCTAGCCACTACCGCCACCACCCACACCACCACCGCCACCACCCCCACCACCACCGCTAGCCACTACCGCCACCACCCACACCACCACCGCCACCACCCCCACCACCACCGCTAGCCACTACCGCCACCACCCACACCACCACCGCCATCACCCCCACCACCACCGCTAGCCACTACCGCCACCACCCACACCACCACCGCCACCACCCCCACCACCACCGCTAGCCACTACCGCCACCACCCACACCACCACCGCCACCACCCCCACCACCACCGCTAGCCACTACCGCCACCACCCACACCACCACCGCCACCACCCCCACCACCACCGCTAGCCACTACCGCCACCACCCACACCACCACCGCCACCACCCCCACCACCACCGCTAGCCACTACCGCCACCACCCACACCACC